TGGGGAAAGGCCGCTCACCCCGAAGCTGGCACGGGGGACATTGTGACCAGCTCTGGGACGGGACTCAAATTCCCAGCAGGCGTGAGGCAGGAAACGACGGGTCACCCTTCCTTTCTCCCTGTACGACAGGATTGGTATCGATCTGCCGGCGGCTGCAATACCTGGCCATCGACACGCTGACAATCCACCTTCGGAGTGCAGCCAGTTATTTATATTTATTTACATTTAATTTTCTAGCCGTGCTTCATTAGACAGAGAAACTCTGCTCTGGCAATGAGAATGGGCAGGAAGAATGGGAAAGCGTGACCGGGAGTTCCACAACAGCTCTGGTTTGCTGTGGGTGCGATGATGCCGTGTGTTCACCCCTTCCCAGACCTGCACCTCGATGCCCTTGAGCATCTCCTGGGCTGCTTGCTTAGGGATGCAGCCGAACGCAGGAGGCTGCCTGTAGGGTCTCTGCAGATGCCGAATTTAAGCAAAAAGAGGAGGGGTTAGGGAGGCATGGGTAGGAAAACAGAGCCGGTGCCCCGTTAGTAAGAGCAAGGAGCGATATAAAACTAAGGTCAGGTTCCTCCTGAGAGAAGAGGAACAAAAGCACCAGTGCACAGCAGGGAGGAGGAGAATGAAATGAAGGTTAAGTGCTGCTGAAGGAGAACGGCTGGCGACAAGATGGAGGGGGAGAGGGAGTGCAGAGCCAGAGACATGCGGCTGCAGCGAGGTTTAGAGAATAAAAAATGTGCTGCATTGCTCGTCACTGTCCTGGTGTGACCTGCGACACCCGTGGGCTCAGGGGCTGCTGGGTGGGCAGCGCAGACTGTCAGGAGGGCACTGCCACCGGCAGCCAGGAGGGAGCCCGTCTGGGATCTCGTGGCAGCGGGGAGCATCACTTCCTTCCAAGATGATACCCTTTTCACGGTCCAATATACCAATTTAATGTCAGTTCTGGCAAAGGTTTTCAATGTTTTTCAGTGTCCTGTCCAGGCATCCACATAAGTATCACTTGGCACCCCTGGAGTACTCTTTATTTCCTTCCTGGACCACTTTATTCCCTTTCTGGACCACTTCATCTGCACGCGTGGTAGCCCACCACGTGCATACTGCTTGATTCACACACAGGGTGGTCCAGCAATCCAGTTTCCACCCCATCTCCCACTGACACCATCACTTCCAGAGCACCCGTGCAGTGAAAGGGCAGCTAATTCCCAGCACGGATGCAGCTGAACGATAACAAATCCCACTCAGAAATCACAGTAACAAGAATGTACCATCCAGAATTAGACCCTCTGCATGGTACAGCTCACGGCCATTGACCAGCCAGACCCACCTGGCAGCGTGTCCCGGGCGTGGGCATACAGGATGTGCTGTGAATCCTTAAATTTCGGAGATCTTTCATTGGAAGGGGGTGGGGGAATGCAAAGTTTGCAGAGTGGCGCTGAGCCCTACCCTCTTAAGGACAACCATAGGTACGGCTTACCTAACACAGCCAGGCGCTCCCACTACTAATTTAGCTTAAAATACTACAAAAATACCCCTTACCCACCCCCCCCTTCCCCCGAGGGGGCTCACCCATCCTTCCCACATCCCAGAGCGGACCATCAGCGCGGCTCCCGGCCGCCGGTACCCGCTTGTTCCCCGTGCCTCAGTCGCTCCACCTGGGGGAGTTCCGCTGGGGTGCCCCCGGCCCTTCCCACGCCCCCTTCCCAGCCCCGCCGGGGACCCACCTGCGCCCCCTCCAGCCGCCGAGCTCCGCCGCTCGCAGGGAGGCGCAGGGAGGCGGAGGAAGCGGGGGCGCGGCGCTCCCGGCACGGCTCGGCACGGCCCGGCCCGGCCCGCTGGGAGATGTAGTTCGCCGCCGCTCCGGCCCTGCCCAGCGCTGCTCCGGGACTGCGGCTCGCAGCCGGCCACGCCGCATCCCGGTCCCGGCCGGAGGTAACGCGGGGAAGGAGGGGGGGGTGGGAAGGAAAGAGATGCAGGAGAGGGGAGGTCAGGGGTTGGGGTGGTCGGAAGCAGGGGGACGGGGGGAAAGGGCTCTGGGCAAGGGGTGCAGGAGGGGTGAAGTGGGCTCGGGATGCAGGAGGGATGCTCGGGGTGAGGGGTGCTGGAGGGATACTCGGGGTGAATGGTGTACAAGGGGTGCTCAGGGGAAGGGGTGTAGGAGGGATAGTCGGGAAAAGGGATGCTAGAGGGATGCTCAGGATGAGAGGTACGTGAAGGGTGAGGGATGCTTGGGGTGAGTTATTCAGCGGTGATACTCAGGGTAAAGGGTATAGGAAGGGTGCTCAGGGGAAGGGAGGCAGGAGGAATGCTTGGAATGAGGGGTGCAGGAGGGATGCTCAGGGGAAGGGGTGCAGTAAGGGTACTTGGGGAAAAGGGGTGCAGGAGGCATGCTTGGGGTCGGGATGCTCAGGAGTTGGGATGCTTGGGTGTTGGGATGCTGGAGGGATGCTTGGAGGAAAGGGTTGAGGATGGATGCTTAGAGGCACGAATGCTTGGCAGTCAGGATGCAGGAGCTTGTTCAAGGGATGCAGAAAGAAGCTGTGATTAAGGGGTGCTTGGGGGTCAGAATGGAGTTCTTAGGAACTGGAATGCTCCGAGGGAGGGATACTTGGAGGAAGGGGAGCAGTAGAGATGCTTGGGAGGGATACTTGGAGTGATGCTTGGGGTTTGGAATGTAGAAGAGGACTTGAAGGGAGGTATGTAGGAGAGATGGTTGGAATAAGAGCTTCTCAGAAGGTTGAGGTGCAGGAAGGATGCTCAAGAGAGGGATGCTTGTAGGGAGGAGTTCAGGAGAGAGGCCCAGGTTTCAGAATTCCCAGAGAAATGCTCAGAGAGAGGGATTCTCTGTGATCAGGATGCAGAAGGGAATGGTGGAGGAGGAATGCTTGAGGATTTGGCTTTTTAGGATTCAGGGTGCAGGGAAATTCTTGGAGGGAGACGTAGAGGAGCAACACCGGGAAGTGGGGGTGTGTGCAGTCCTCTGGTGCCTGCAGGGCTTTGCAAACCTGTTTATAAGGCAGCATCTTGTTATAAGAAACTGGCCAAGATGGGTTCAGGTTTTCTCCAACAAACTGACCTGGGGAGAGACACCCAGGGATGTTCCCATCCCATAGGGAACCAAAAGACTCTAAAAGTGGTCAAATTCAGATTAGCTGAGATCCAACCCTATTTCAGGTTAAATCTGCTCTGGCTTAGACTTTGCAGGTGTTACTGAAGGATAAAAGCAGATGTTGGAATATTTGCCACTGCTGTGAGGTTTTCAAAATGCTTTGGGAACTCAACTATACCCTGCTGTATCTGATGGCAGAGAAATTTCACCTGCATGCCTTACATCAGGCTGAAAGGATGTAGCTGAGCTTTCCCCTCGGAAGGAGGCTCAAAATGCCTTGGGCATCCTTGTGATGGAGTCCACAAAGTTTGCCGTGGTCTCACTTTGTGTTCCTGGTTTCTGGACTTGGCTGATGCAAAGCCAAAGATGTTGGGGGCTGGAGGGAAACTGGGATCTCAAGTGGCATCATATCCCAGTTTTCCTGAAGGCACCACCAAAAAACTGGAGGAGATCTCTGTATCTGCAAGCAGTGAGGCAGTGTCTGATGAACCCTAGCCAGCGTCAGCAGTATCCACCCTGAGTCCGGTATGCTCTGGTGAACAGAACGTGGTTTTTCCTTGGGTTGTATCCAGGGTTTTAATTTCTATACAGAGACAAAAGCAGACAGAAACCTGAAGAAAGAAGAGTGCTATTAATGCTATAAATACCTTCAAGAAAACAAGCAGCTTTCCGGAGTAGATATGTATAGAGTCTCCAGGGATGATGATAAAAAGGACGTTGGCCTGAAGGTCAGTGCAGGATCTGGGCACTCTTAGTATAAAGCCCTATGGAAGTAGGGTAGCACAGCCCTGGCTGAGAGCTCTGGCCAAGGAGGAGAGCAGAAATCTTCTGGGGGTAAAAAAGGAGGATATCTTCATCTGGGGGATGTGCAGAAGAGAAACTGGGAAAAACTTATCTAGTGTGGACAGGACAAAGCTTTCGAGCTTCCAGTGCCAAATATATTCAGAGAATTAAAAAGCAAGTGGGGTGGGTTATTTTTGCCTGGGGTTGTTGCCGGGCTTAGCCATAGAGCCAGCAGTTTGTCACTGTTAGGCTGGTGGTTTGAGCAAACCCTGCCTCATGTGCCTTTCTCTGCTGCTGGTTTTGAAGGTAATGGGAGAGAGGAATTAAATTCCTAGTGTCTTGCTTTCTGTGTCCATACCAGGATAGCTGATAATACACTAGTGATGGTTTTGAGATGCTTTATTAGAAGGGGATACCAGTTGGTACTAGAGGTGTGTGCATGTGGCTGTTGACTGAAGGGGAGGACTGGAGCTGGACGGAGGAGTCTGGAGAAAGGGAGGATGAAATGTTAGAGCCTTAGGCTTTATTTGGTGCTGCACTGATCACTTTGTCATCCAGCCAAAGACTTTATAAAAATTTGATGACTGAGTGCCTAACGGCAAAAAACACAGAGCAAGAGAAGAGTGTGTGTGTGTGTGTCTATCTGCATCAAAGGGATCAAAGAAGAAGCACCAGAGGAATAAGAGAGCAGGGTAGGGTGGGTAAGATAGATGGGTTGAGACAGGGCAGCCTGCCCAGCACTGTTGTCACTTGGAGATGGCTGATAGAATTGTATGATGTGGTCAAACATCTTTATAATGTTTTAGAGGAAAAAAGAGCAATGAAATATGTAGTACTGCAGAAGAAAGGAAGAGGATCCACAGTGGTCTGTGGATCTAGAGCATCAACAAATTTTAATGAAGGGAGGGATTACTGTATGATAAATTTAGGCTGATTGCAGATAGATATCTCCTGGTTAATTACTGTTTTTGAGACTCCTTAAGAAAGTGTGTGACCACAGGAGAGAGACTTGTTGTTCCCAAAGTGGAGCTCTCGATGTACCACAAAACCATGCAAAATGCCAACAGTCTAGTAGGGTGATGATAGCTTAAATAAATCTTGACTCTCTGGAGAGAACAGAAGGCTGCTGTGCAGGGTGGAACGTTCTGCAGAGCATGGGGAGAACCTCTTGCTCCAAATCTGCTATTGCCTGTGGTGCTGTACTAAAGGATGGTTCAGATTCTGAGGACAGGAAAGCATTAAGAGCCTTGTCAGCAGAAAGTAATTAACTCCAGTGAGTAGGAGATGCACAACACAAGTGCAATCTGTCACTGGAAAACAGTTTGGGACAGGAAGCAAAGAATATATGATCTCCTTGAAAAGAGAAGTTGAATTTAGAAAGGCAGATTACAATTACGTGCAAAAAATTCAGCTAGGCTTCTGTGCTAGGAATTTTTCCCTGTTATGACTGCAGATGGGTATAATCTCACTTCTCTTTCTCAAAGGGTATTTAATGGGATTTCTCTGCAGTTATTAGCTCTGAATTTCTGTGCATATCTCATTAAAATTAACCTGGTGCTCTGCTCTGCCACAGCACTTTATTGGGGGCAACTAGCAGCTGAAAGCAAAGTACAGTGGAGCATCGGCATTAATGTATTTTCAGGTCTGGAGAAGTTTGGCTGCTGGCTCTGCCACAACTTTGAGCAAATGGTTTGCTCTAGATAATTTTTAAGGTTCCTTCCAAGCCAAACCATTCTATGAGTCTCTGGTCTGGATGTGCCTCAATATTTCCCATTACTAGAACAGCATGAGCATCTGTTAGATGTGGTAATGATGTGCACGCTGTGGTTTACCCTTCTTGGCTCGATGAACAGGCATGTACTTTGAACCAAAAACAAATCCTCTTTGCCTATGGCTTCATTGGACGTTTGTTCCCTGCAAAAAAATCATGAGGACATAATTACTTTGATGTTCCTGGAAAACAGATCTAGAGAGGTGACAACAGGAGTGGTCCTTCTGTAAGAAGGACAACTTCCTGTAAGAAGTTGTATGCCAAGTGATGGCAAATTTTGTAGAAATTTTAGAGAACACAGTATTTTTTGTGAGGTGTTTTGTGCTCTAGCAAAGCACTGTGTGAGCTCCCTTTCATCCTGCAGCAGCTCAGCATGCTGCAGGATTGAGCCCTAATTGCCTGGCTGCCTGGAGGATGCAGCAGGAATAGCAGTAATGTCTTGGCTGACATAAAAGAAACCATTTCAGCAGGAGTTAAGGACAATAAAAGGTGAGTCTCATTTCTGTCCTTCCAGACCTCCAGGGAATTCAGGGAAGTAGATCTTCTTCTTCTTCTTCTTCTTCTTTGTAGGTAAGAAGCAAATCACTTTATGTACCAGTCGATGTTTGGATGGTGGGAATTTTTTTCCTCCGTCAGTGATATTTGTCAAACTCCCTATGATGCCATTGTAGGAAATGTGCTGAATTGATTACTGAGATTTCCTAAAGGTAAAGTACACCTCATATCTGTGTTTTCAGAGCTTTGTAAGATCTGGTGTGTGGGAACTGATACTGCATTCTGCAAAAAACACCAAGGAGCCTTTACTGGAAAACAGTTGCTGGCAGGGATAAGGGAGTGAATTGGTTTAAAAATAATTGGATATATTTCAATTGAAATGAATCCTAATTAAAATAAAAAAAAACCAGGCAGAAGAGAACTATAAGAACACCTCTGAACAGTATAGATTATGACAACTAAACCCAAGCAAAGCCCAAGGTGATTTTTCATCCTGAAGTTGGGTTTTAGTTTCTTTTGCAGTTTACTCACTTTGGAGAATGAAGCTAAGCTCTAGTCAATGCTGTTCTTTGCTTAAGTTTCTTCTCCCTCTCTGGTTTCTAGAGCGTATTTGGGTGTCTGTCCCTGCAGGGACCCAACTTTTGTTCAGCAACACCTAGTGCATGGGTTGTTGAAATACTTAATTGAATATATGGGTCTAGGAGGAACTTAAGTCTGAAGCCAGGGCTGATCTCTTTTACAGCACCCTTTATATTTTGAGGGGGCATGGGAGAAAGCATTGTGGACCCTGGTGTATATTTGTGGGTGCAAATTTGTGTGGTACCTAATACCATGAACACTTACTGACCTGCCAGGTGGGAGAGAGTGTCTTCAGGACAGTTTTATATGTCTGAGCAATTGCCTGACGAGGATGAGGTAGGAAGACATCCTTATTCCAAAATACATCTAGCACGTCTTCAAAAAATCAGGAAACATTATCTGATAACCTAGTTTAGTCATCATCCCTTTGGTTCTTGGGATGATCACACATAGCACATCCCCTTGGAAGCTGTGTCTGGGCACATGAAGAAGGAGGTGTCTGTTAAAGACCAGTGTTCATTTACCAAGGGTGAATCATTCTTGACCTACATGATGGCCTCTAAGGATGGGTGGGTAGATCTGTGGATGAGAAGAGGGTAGTGAATGTCGTCTTCTTTGATGTCAGTAAGACTTTTGACATGATTCCTCACAGCATCCTTGTATCAAAGACACAAGAGAAACCACAATCCAGATGTGCGGACTGCTAACTGGGTAGGAAACGGTCTGGAACTATCCTAGGTCCTTTCCTTTTTAATATTTTTATCAAAAATGTGGAGGAGGAGATTAAATACACTTTGTCAAATTAGTGAGTGACACCAGACTTGGGAAATAATCAATGTGCTTGACTACAGGGCTGCCATACAGGAGGGCCAGGACAGGCTATGGCTGACATGAATCTCCTGGAATTCAACAAGGACAAATGCAAAGTGTTTTGGGATGGACTCACCTGGGATGGATTAACCCCTTGAAGGTTGGGGACTGGCTGATAGCAGCCACTGAGTGACTACAAGGAGATTATTCAGGAGATGGATCCAGGCTTTTCATAGGAAGGCAAAGTAGGGGAATGCAAAAAAAAAGAAAAAAAACAGATATAAATTGAAACAAGAGTTTCCAACTGGAAATAGGAACAAACTTCCCACTATGAGCTAATTAGTACTGGGGCAGGTTGCCCAGGATGGTTGTGTGATCTCTGTCCTAGGATATTTTCATGAACTTCATGGATAAGCCCTGAGCAGCTTGTGTTGATTTCAGCTTTGTGCAGGGATTGGGCTAGAGACCTCCCAGGAGTATTTTCCTCTTGATTCTGTGATTTTGCCTGTGTTGTTCCTACCAGTGATTCACTGGGGGAGCAGAACAGTTTTGCCATTTCATGTGATTTTTTTCTTTTTCCCTGTAAAGCTCATATTGCGTACTTTCTGTTTTATGTGAGCTACATAACAGATGAGAACTTCAATGTGGCTCTTCAGTTTAATAATTAACACTCTGACCTTCTGTTCATCCTTGGGTGCTCCAGGAACTCGGTTTTCTTCACAAGCAGGAATGAGCCATCCTCCCACCTCTTCCTCACCAGCATTAAAAACTCACAGAAGTGCAGAAAGATTGTTCTACTTCAGGAGCACTCATTATAGAAGCCTGAATATTTAGTCTCTTTATTTCAGTCTTAAACAGAGGAGAATCAGGGACCAGATCTCCAAGGCAGCATTGGGCTGCCTGACAATGAACTGTCCTTCCCTCCCCTGCAGTTCCCTGGGTTATTTATGACACACTTCCAATTTCTACAGCAAATGAGACAGTGATCTTACAGACAAGACTCCAAATCACTTTACTTCTCCACTGCAAACCCTGATTCACTCTCCATGCAGGTCCTAGGGGAAAAAAAGTTAGTATTAGATACTTAAACTCATATATCTCTGAAACTCTTAAACTCATGTATCTCTGGAGCTGTGCTTGGCTTGAATTAGCATCTTAATTCCTAGCCTGTGACATGCAAATGATCTTTTAGTGTAAAATGCTCTTTTATTGTAGTTTTAAGAGTATAATATTTATTATTGCATATTACAAAACAACTTGAATGTTGTTTTAATATCATTCTAAGACTGTAATATATGTCCTGGCTAGCATCCTCCATCCTGTCTTTGTCTGGCCCACAGCCAGGGAGCAGCTTGATCCACCCTAATACACAAGAGAAACATGGGCTTGTTTGTCCCCCTTTGCTGTCACAAGGGTGGTTAGAGAGGTGCAGGTGGGGCTGTAGTGCCCAAAGCCCAACTTTGTACGGTAAAGCCCTTCATTAGTGAGGAGAGCATGTACCCTTCAGCACAGGTAGTTCTCCCTGAGAAGGACTCTTCAAGGTCCTAATGTCAATATGAGATATGATGTTTCTGATGAGAAAGATGCTCCTTTGGGATTTCTTTGTCTGTTGACTATAGAGGGAGTTTGTTTCAGCCTTGTCCTCACTGTACTATGTCAGATGAGACCAGGTTGTACTCTGTGCAGCAGTGCTGGCGTAACCCATCCTCTTGTCCCTTTCAGTGATCAGCCTGAAGAGGCTGCAAGTTTAACTTAAAATTGAGGTGCAATTAGACTCTTTTCATTGAAAATTTGGGTGAAGTTTGGCAATGCTAAAATAGCCAAAATCACAGTCGTTCAAGGGACAATGGTGGGCAGCCATCACCCCTGAGAGGGGCAGCAAGACCACCCAACACCACATATACCCGTGAACTGTGGTGATTTATGGGTCTAGGTCTAAAAGAACTGTAGCCATTTTTTTACCCTTCTGCCTGGGTAGTGTTTCCAAATCACTGTGCCAGGTTCAGCTTGGATTGCTCCAGGGAAGTAACCACATAACAGAGAGGTTTGTGCCAGTCTCTGTATGGCCAAGATGACCACTGAGCAACAATGAGGACAAATGCTCTTCCTGATTTCAGACTGTCTGCAAGCCCCACTTGCTCTCCAGGTGGACTTTTAGTCTTTGCTCTCACTGTGGTACTTTCTGTTTGAGGTGAAAAGACTTTACCTGTGGGATTTTTCTTTTCTTACCTTGTCCTCGTTTGATACTGGTTTAATGCAGGCTGATTTCCCAGAAGTCCTGCTTATGTCTTCTATCCTGGGAAAACAATGTGGTGGAGAGTATTAGCTCTGCCACAGTTTGTTGTAGGGAAGGCAGCAGTGATGCTTGGTGGGGAAAAATAAATCCAGCACATGAGCAAAGGACTGTATGAGTCAGCAGGCATGGGACAGAAAGGCCAAGGTAGTTCCTGAAGAGCCATTGCAATGTAGGCTGCTGTCATCGCTGGATTGGGAGGTGGCTATATATATATATATATCAATAATGGGATTTTTTCACCCTGTGAGATTGTGGGGGAAGCAGTAATGGGAAGAGGTGTTGTTTGGTCAAGTGGAAAGGCTTCCCAGCCAAACAGCTGTGAGTCAGAGCTTGATGTTTGTGTCTGGCATGGGTTTTACTTCTCCACTGGCAGGCAGCTGTCTACCAGGAGAGAAGATACTCTCTGGATCAGATACAGGCTTACTCTGGGAATGGTATGGTCCTTGGATGGTATCTGCTGAGGTCCCTTCTGGATGTCATCTGTGAAAACCATACTGGGGGTACATGTCACCTGCATGTATATTCTTCATTAATATAACCCTGACCACTTGAAAAACTTCAAATGCTTTCCAAGTGTTAATGAAGGATCTGTCAACCAACCTCACTACGAATTGCTGTGTGTTGTCCTCCTTTCACAGATTAGGAAGCTGAGGAACAGAAAGGTGGTGATTATTATTCTGGTCAGATAAACGAGAGTGGATTGTTTCAGGCTATAGGCAGGAAGGAACTTTCTCCAAATGTTATTTGTGCAGCTCATTGCACTGGCAGGACCTGCTGTGGGTGAGCCTTTATACAGTCCCTGTAATACATTTTAAGAAGTCCTGACTGTCTAATTTTATCATTTTGTGATGGTTTGGGTTTTGGGTTTTTTTTTTTGTTTTGTAGTTGTTGTTGGTTCAGGGTTTTGTTTGTTTGTTTGGTTGGTTTTGTTTTTGTGGGGTTTTTTGTTTGTTTTTTTTTGTGCAGTAGTGCATCCAACACCTGGTTATAAATGTTTCTCTGAGCTTTTTTTTTTTTAAGCACTCTCTCCCTAATGCTTTATTGCTGGTGAATTTGGGCCATGACGAATGGGAAACTTTGCCTGACTCTGCAGTTTCTCTCGCTTTGGTCCCGCATACAAATGCGGCAGGTCCCTGGGGAGCAGCCAAGACTGCACCACTCAGATGGAGTGGCTGGCAGCACAGTGCAAATGTCAAACATACACCCTTGCCATCACACAGAGAGGCTGCAGTCCCACCTCTGCTTCACGGGGCTTTTCTCTCCTGCCCTGAATGTGAAGACAATAATTGGGAGCATTTCTGCCTCTTGAGGACAAGTGAGTCAGCAGACACCATTATAAGACCTTGGCTCCCTTAATCCCCCACTCATCCCCTCCATGGGTCTGTAGTTGGTTGTTTACAAGACAAAAATACTCAAATATGTTATTAGTCTGAAGTAGTTCTGCATTTTTGTTTATTCATTCAGTTTGGGGGCTTTAATCTCCATCAAACATGACCGGGGTAGAAACTTTTCGGAATGCCACCAGGAAAAGGCCTCAAGAATTATTTTCAGGGTGGTCCCAGACTGCTCCCAAGCTCTGTTTCTTTGACCTTTCTTGTCAACCTGGGCTTGAAAGCTCATCAGACACTCCTTGAACTAACCTGCTGCTCTATTCCTCTCTTTTAGGAGCAGGGAGCAGAGATGGATAAGATACTGGAAGCTGTGGTGATGTCTTCATACCCCAACAATGTGAAGCAAGGACTAGTAAGGCGTGTCATTGAGGCGTCGAAACAGCCCATGGACAGTGAGCAATGCTGGTCCATGCTGGAACTGTCCACCAAGCTTTATCTCACTGGGGACACCAAGTATAAAAGAGAGATTGGGAAGGAGGTTTTGGAGGTCTACGGCCACTATCACCCGGAGGAATTTGAGGAGTTCTTCAATGTCCGCTTCCTGCTGAGTCTCCTGCAGGAAGGCTATGGACCTCTGGGGAAGAGAAGCCATTATGTACTTGATTATATCCAGTTAGGATTGCAGTTTGTTCTGGAAAGCCCATCAGCAAACAGCATCTTCAGCTTATTGAGGATCGAGGTGCTCCGGAAAATCTGCGAGAGGCCCAGCCCCAAGCAGTGTGCGAAGATCAGCAAACTGTTAACCCAGCATCCTCAATGCATTCCCACGGGAAAACACCAGCTCTTGTTCTGTCAGCAGCTGATCAGGTGCATCGGGCATTTCCAGTGTGTTTCCGAGGAGGAAGAGCAGATCATGGAATTTTTGGAGCAGGTGAACAAAGTGAGTGGTCTGCTACAGAGGATCTGGAGGACTCAGACCTCAACCATCCTGCCCTCTTTGAAGGAACTGTTCACTATCATTTCTTCAACAGGTAATTTAAAAATAGTAATAAAAAAGGGAATGTAAATGTTGGCTCTGATGAAGTCAAATTCAATTAGTTTGACATCTCACAGTGTTCTCATCCACTACAGAAATGCAGCCACAGAGGAAATGTAATAAACAAGCATCTCTAAAAGTTATCCAGGGCTTTGAGCTGGGAAAACAATATCCCCTGAAACCACACAGAGTCTGCACACAGGAGCTGTTAACGAGATTGAAACATTTGCAGCACAAGTTTGTGTGTTCAGCACTTCCCAGCATCAGTTGGGCTTGAGGGAAAACACCTTATCTCCTGCTGGTTAGAATGGGACTTCAAAGCTTTTAGAAATGTCGCTATCTTATGACTGCTCCCTACCAGAGACTAGGGATAAAGCTAAGGAGTTATTTCTCGCTGATCTAGAGGTATGAAGCTCTACTGCCACTTTGGAGAGTGGTTGCATAGTAAGGTGAGAAAGAAGATATTTATCCAGTATCTGGGGTCTTAAGGCTATTGTGGAGAGTTTCAGGAGGTTTTTTGAGGTACCAATGCCATGAAAGGCTGGGGATCTCCTGCTCCGGCTATTCCTAAGTCCACGGGAGATTGCTTTTCCAGTGCCCTCTGTATGAAAGCGTCATCTTTTGGAAGGTGCTCCAGACTGGCAAAATTGCAGTTGCGTCCCTTTGCAATTATTTGCAGTACTTAGTACAAAGAGAGCATGCAGAGGAAATTTGGGACCCAGGGTTGGCCCAAGGATGTTTTCATGCCTGTGATCTCTTCCTCCCTTTGGGCTGTGCATGGCTTCAGGATTTGGGGAATTTTCCTGCTAGCACACCCCAGCTGTAGATTCCAGATTGCTCATTGGCACCAGCTGACAATCTGCTCCATAACATGTGGATGTGGCCCCTGGGGACATGGTTTAGTGTTGGACATTGCAAGTGCTGGGTTAGTGCTGCAAGTGCTGGGTTAGTGACACAGCAAGTGCTGATCTTAGAGGGCTTTTACAACCTAAACAATTCATGATTCTATTTACGTGGGCAGAAGCGATGTGATTTTTAGGGATGAGAAATGACCTCATGTGCCTGGTTTTCCCGGCAACTAACATCTTCATTGCTGGCGCTCATCTGTGTCTTACAGAGGAGCAGGAAGCACCCTCCAACGCTTTGGCCAGCGTGGTTCAGTTTGTCCCTCTGGAGCTCATGGATGGCGTCATAAGAAACCTAACCAACGATGACAGCATCACTGATGTGCAAATGATGATGGCCATCGGCAGGTAGGAGAGGCTGCATTAGTGAATGTCATTCTCAGTTCGGAGAAAAACTCGCCCCAAGGCTGCACTCAGTTTCTCTGAGTTTTATCTGGTTTTTTATCTCTGGTTTTATCTCCAGCAGTTTGGCTGTGCTGTCTGGTGAATAGTGTGTGGGGAAAAAGGAAACTTCTGTATCACTCTTTCCAGCCCTGAGGTTCTAAAGAACTAGAACAAGGACTAGTGGTTGTTGTTATTATTATTGTGACAATGACTATTACTATATTTGTTTGGTTTAATTTGGTTTCTTTTCTTAGAAATAAATACTGTTATGGGATACCCAACATAAGATGTCTGGAGAAGTTTTGATTTTTTTCCAGAAACTGTTGAGGTCTTTTTCTTCCCAAAAATCTCCTTTGCAGAATTTCATGTTGATCTGCGTCTCCCTTCAGAAGGACATCATCCTAAATAAATCAGTCACAGATAAAAATCTTTGGGAGGGTCTTACCTTGACCTTTGTCAGATGAATGTGGTGCAGATGGACAGAGTCAATAGAGACCTTATCAAAGCATGATGAAAAGCAGTGGGTGAAACACTACCTGACATGTTAGACCCAGTCTTTGCAGCACCAGTGCCCTCTCTGGCATCACCAGATCTTCTTTGCACGCTTATGTCCAAATCCTGCTGCTCCTCTGTGCTCCAATGCCTTGCTCCACATTTGTTTAGGAGTATCTTCAATGATCTTAAGGGTTCTTTTCCAACCTAAATAATTCCATGATTCTATCTTTAACCCATGCTTTCTTTAGAGGTCTTCATTTAAGGAGATGATACTCAACATGCAGTGAACTTAACACATGGGAGCTGCTGTGACTTGTTCTTACTGGAAACATCTTTTTTCTTATTATTATTACAGGATTTGTGTGATTTGTGTGTCCCTCCCAGTAAGGTTACATGACAGAAACACATTACTATGTGTTATAATACATGTAATGTTATGGAACATTATGTATACAGAAAGGGATTTGGCTTGCTGGGGAAGGCCATGGGTTTCCTAGAACCCACATCAACCCAAGACAAAAGATTAGGTCATCAGTTCAGTTCCTAACCCTCTTCTCCATCTTTTTCTCCTTCTGGACACCTGCTGCTGTGAGCTCCAGGTGATGAATCCTCTAAGAGCACCAGTGGCTAAAGATAGAGAGGTTGCCAAATCAGTTGCATCATTCCTTAAAACACTTTTTGTCATGCAGAATAATGAGTAAATGGTGAATCAGAGTTAGCCAAACATTAAGCAGAGCCTGTAAAATGTAATTAAGATCACTTAGGAGAAATGTGGAAGTTTTGGCAGCTTGTTTATGGCAGATGGGTGCCCCAAAAGCCAGCATGATCATCAGCCTTTCGATGAGTGTGTGCTCCATGCCTAAAAAGTCAAAGAAAAATGTACAGGATATTTCAGCTTAGTATTCCTGAAAAAGTGGTCTCATACAGAAGTGTATTCTTCCCAAGTTTGGGTTTGGGAACTAGTAGTCCGGGAATAAACTGGACATAGAATGGAGCTTCTGCTCAAGCATGTTAAGAACAAATAATGATAAAAAAAAGCAAGGCTGGCACCTGCTGGTCTAAGTGTACACCACAATCTCTTTTAGAGAGTGTCTTACAGAGCTTTTCTCTTTTAAAAAACCTCTAATAATGCACACTCATGATGTCAGAAGTACTCACTGGTTAGTTTTTTAATCTTTTTTTCCTGGGGGTGTATCTCTTTCAAAGAGCCCAGGTCCAGATGCAGAAGGCATCTGCTGTCACACAGCAATGCAGGCACTCGCTACCTCTGGAAATCAGGGTCTGAGCTTTTAAAAATTTAGTATTCCAAATCAGTGGTTCCTTTGGAAAATAAGAGTCATCACTACTAAAATAGCTTGTGGATCTTCCAATGTGCAAAGTGCAATGTGAATTTGAAATGTAATTTCTTCCCACTGTAGCAACATGGGCAGCACTGTAACTTAGCCACCAGTGCTGGCAAAAAAATAGCTTGAAGCAAACAAGGTTATTTTATGCCTGTTTAAAAGAAAATGGGGTGAAAAGGAACCTTTGGATCTCTGGATCCATCTCTCTGCTTTATAGGCACAGACATTACAGACCCCTTTCATAAATGTTCAGCTACACTCCTCAAAGCAGGACAGGCTTATGCTCCCACTGCTCTTCTTTCATAGCTGTTCCACCATGGGGTTGCTTTAGTGGGTTGAATCTCTCTTCTAACAGCCAGCCTCTGTGTATTTCTGGCCACCTTACAGTTCATTTGATCTTATGCCAACAGAGATAGCTGAAATACCTTTTGCCTCCCTGGTGTTTATTTCTTCATTATGTGCAGGCAGAGCAGTCCCTTCCCATATCTGCTTTCCCATGGCTGTGCTAAACAAGCCAGGTTATTTTAAGCTTTTCTTGCAGGAAATGTTCTTGGGCACAAATGGTGTTTGTGCACCATGTTCCAGTGCAGTTCATCATGACAACCTGACCTGAGGTGTCATTGTTTTGCTGGAGAAAACACCTTTTCTTCTGCACCACAGCATGGTGCTGGTCTTTTCCATGGCTGCTGTTACACTGGGAGCTCGCAGTCACCTGGTATCTGCCTGGTTGTCTTCACGCAGATGAGTTACCATCATGTACCATCCATTTTTCGTGCCTTGCGTGCATTTTGAGTCCATACATTTCCTTCCAGTTCAGCATTTCTGATCCTCAGGGTCTTCCTTGTGATACCTTTATCCTCCTCTTGTGATAGTTGTCTAACATTGAATTCTACCAGAAACAATATGTTATCACTTAGTCTGAGGTTATTGTTTTATGAGAGACTTCTGTAAAGTATGTATTTCTTGTAGAAACATGACATGTTGTTTGAGTGGTACAGTGGTTGAGACCTCAATAGACCACCCACGTGAGGGTTTGATTGAGGTCTCTGCATTGTCACCATTAGAAAACAAGGGATATTGGTATCATCTCTGCATTGTTACTGGTAAGGAAAGAACACTCACATTCAGATATTTTAATTCTCTGTGTGGGAAACACTGATTTCCAAAAACACATTAGAAAGCCCCAACCTGGTAACCCTAACAGTAGCCAGTTATTTCTGAATGTCACAGCTAACAGATTTCAGAGATCATACCAATATCCCTTGTTTTCTAATGGTGACAATGCAGAGACCTCAATCAAACCCTCACGTGGGTGGTCTATAGAACACTGTACCAGTGTTCAAAACTTGAACTCAAGATGACTGAAGTCAGTGGAAAAAATCCCCATTTTATTCTATGGACTTGGGTCTGAGCCTCTGATGAACCACAGCATGATGATGGCATTGGGGTATTTCCAATTCAGGCTCTGTTGTGCTTTGAATAACATGTGAAATGCCTTATGAAGAGCCCGTCTCTTATTTGGTCATCCCACTGACTAGACACCAGTTTGGAGGAGATTTGACCCGGAGCGGAGCTTGAGTTTCACAATATGTGTATTAAATTTATTTAAGAGTTTGTATTTCATTTCAGGATGATTGACTGGGTGTCCTGGCCCCTGGGAAAGAACATAGACAAGTGGATCATTGCTCTGCTGAAGGGTTTGGCTGCAGTGAAAAAGTTCAGCATCTTGATTGAAGTCACTCTTTCAAAAATAGAAAAGGTCAGTTGGCTCTTTTAAATGTGAACGTGAACCACAGAAATATCATCTTGCACCTGAAATATCATCTTGCCTTTCAACTGAATTGAGGACGAGATGTGACTTGAGAGGTACAGAGAAGAGTTTGCTGTCCCAAGGGATACTGTTGTTGCAGCTAGGAATGATATTCTCCTGAACAACCCTGGGGTTCTTCAGGTCGTGGTCTGCAGAGATACTGATATCTTGAAGGTTATGAAATAAGGTAGCCAAGGATTTTCAAGCCAACCAATCCCTTTCCTTCCCAAACTATAGAGCTCTTGTAAAACTTGCCTTTGGGAAGGTGACATGCTGTCCTTTGACTGTACCTGGATCAGTGCTGGCTGGCACAGGCAAAATACATACCAGTGAGCATATCAACAGTCCACACAGTCACAGGTCAGTTTTAAAGCCTGTGTCCTGGTCTAGTTAATGTATTGGTACAGATAAAGCCCTCACTGCCATTGCCATCACCTGTTTCAACAGTGAGTACTTCCTCTCTCTGAAAACTCTGTGACCAAGCGCCAAAATTGGTTGTCACTACTTCAGAAACTTTTTCCATGCTGTGGTCCTGCTGTTCCTTCCTTTGAGTAACGGGGATAACACCTGGCTGAGCTGCCAGTGGAAGTCACCGTAGAAGTTACTGTGACTATGTTCTTAGGGACATGGTGGGCTTAGCAATGATGGATTAATGGTTGGGCTCAATGATCTTAGAGGTATTTTCCAACCTAAATGATTCTGTGATTCTATAATTATCAGTACTGAAACATTATCAATAACTGCATTTATTCTTGTGACACCCCAAGTGCACTGAGCAGTGGGAGAGTAGCCAAGCATCTCTAGCTTTTCTTTATCAATGCATAGGGAAAGCACACAGACCTTAAAATAATGTGATTTTATAAACCTTCAAGAAGTGTGATCTGAGAGGGATAAAGGCTATATAGGTATTTCTTGTAAAGTAGAATAAATGTCATTATTTAATCTTTGAAAAAGGTATTTACTTTTTATCTCTTTGCCTGAAAGGTTAGTGATAAAGTTCCAAATATCTTAATAAAATAGAAGAAGCACATTTTAGAAAATCTAACATCCTGCTGTGCCTGCATGGCCTTGTTCATGAGGAGGCATGAAAATGCAGTGCTGTTACAGAGGCCTGCACCTTGTAGTGCCAGGCATTGCACAAGCCCAAGAGTGAGAATAACCCACACGGTATTTTTATATGCCCTGAGGCAATGCTCTGGACAGGAGATTACTCTAGAGGCCTGATTGCAGGCTGCTTGCTTCAACATCCAACATGGATTAGGAAGAGACCAGCAGCTGTGATAGATGCCCAGTGTCTGTCTTTCCTGCCATTCCCTTCTGCATGTTGCAGTGCTATTCTGCCTTCTCATTTGCTTTTTTTCTCCCCCACTAGGTCTTCTCCAAGTTGCTGTACCCCATCGTGAGAGAGGGGGCTTTGTCTGTCCTGCAGTACATGCTGCTGAGCTTCCAGCACTCCCACGAGGCATTTCACTTGGTAAGGCTGTGCCTGACACTGGGATGAGGGCATTGCCCTGAGTGTACAGCCATGCTGTGGGGCAGCACGGGTGGGAGGGGACCAAGGTGCTGAGATACTGGGCCATCTTTCAAAGCACTGTACGGCATCAGTGCAGTAAGACTAGAGGAGAGGATCAGAACACTTCCACTACACAAATTCTCTTCTGTTAAAAGCAAAACCAACTTTTGGCAGCATTTAAATCTCCACTTTTCATTTCCACGAGCGATATTCTATATTTTGTTTTGCTGTTGGCATTAAGGCACGGCCCTGCTTGCCACTGGTGTTACCTCTGGAATTCTGAATTTAAAAAGTGAGGCTGCTGAAGGCAAAAGAATGCTTGCAGTGATTGAGCTGATAAAAGTAGTAATGGAAAATTACTTGTATTAATGTTTGATTTCATACTTTCTTGTTAGAGCCCTTACATTTGGCTTTTCACCTAGAAGTTTGTGGAATAAACAGATAAGGCTGGAAAAAAGCAAAGGTAGACAATATTTTCAACTGGTGCTTTTTCATTTCTCAGCTGGAGATACTTTAAATGAGCCTGAATTTCTTGAGAATCTCTTTGGTTTCTGAAAATAGGGTCATTCCAATGTATTATCCTCAGTAGGGTGTCCAAATTTTGAAACACTTCAAAAGCTGTCAGTTGCTCTTGGCTTGAAGTTTCCATCTGCAGCCCAAAAAGTATAAATTTCCTCCTTTATTTAAAAAAAAAAAAAATCAGGGCATAAACCTCTCTTGCTTCTTATTTTTTTATGTTTGCCCTGTACTTTGGAAGGGTTTTAAGAATTGTTCCCATCAGAGCTTGGCAAAAATTTTGATGTATAAAATGGTGCTGGGATTGATTTGTTTCCCCAACAAATCTTTCCTGTTGGAAAGGAAATAGTTAAAATCCTCGACATTTTGAAGAGAGAGAAAAAGAACAGGAGAGGAAGACCAAGAGAGGAAGAAGAGGACCAGGAAATGGCTGGACTGGGATCCTGATACTTTACCAAGGATTATTCTGGGCTAAAAAAGACATAAAATATAAATATGTAAAAGGTTGTGTAAGTGCCTGGGGTCACTCTAGCACATCTGCAGGGTTGGAAATAGGTTATTATTTTTCTGTGCAGCTGTGGGGTCAGCAGAGGGTGCCCGTGAGCAATGGATGGTTTGCATTTGCATCTGCTGGTGCATTTTTACATTTTCTAGATGAAAGCAAAATAACAAACCTGCTGTTTATATGCCTGTTGCTACCCATCCAACCATACCCATTCCAGTTCAGTTTACTCAGTATAAAATAAAATAAAGCACAGCAGACAACACTTCTTTTAGGCTAATTCCATCTATCTTGCAGGTTTGAATCCTTGTACTTGGCAGTCAGCATATAATACTCCTTTCCACCGTGGGTGTGGGATTTAGGAGAGACTGAAGCATGGCAATTGCAGTTCAGCAAAGCAGCAATACAAATCTGCAGGTGTCATGCAACATGAAACCCTCTAAGGTTGATTAAAGTCAGCAGAAGAGTTGCTGTTGAGTTCACAGGGTGAAGTATGAAGTCCAGAACAGGACTGAAGTCAACTCCTGTATAGTGTTTTTTCTGCCTGTGGGTGAATTTCATTCCATCAATTGTATGTTAAAGGTCTATGAGTAATTTGGAGTAGTTTTTATAGTGAATTTTCCTTTTTCAGCTACTCCCTCACATCCCCAGGCTGGTGACCTCTTTGAAGAAGGAGGATTCCAATTCGGCAACCAGCTCCCTGGAGCAGCTGGCCGAGCTCATCCACTGCATGTTCTTCCGCTTCTCAGGATTTCCAGACCTCTATGAGCCTGTCCTAGAAGCAGTTAAAGTAAGATATACACTTTTCAGTGATTTTTCTGCTTTCCATATGGAAATGACATCTTGGTTGGTAGCCTAGTACAGAGGGAATATCCTATTGGTAGGGATGTAATAATTTCAGCAACACCTGAAATTGTGGTAGAAGAAAGGGTTTAAAATTCTGAGTTTGAGCCCTGTCTAAGCAGGTTGAGGGAAGATACTTCGCTAATGGTGGGCCTGCACAAGTCCTGATGTTACCTGTAGGTTTTAGCTATAACTTTGTTCTGGAATGCCTCTAAAGGACTAATATGGAACAGGTAAACACCTCCTTGGATGGAGACATGTTCATGTGAAGAGCAGGGAAGATGAGTTGTGTGAACACCTCTAGCAGAGGAGTTTTGCAGTTGCCCATTACTAATTCTTCACGGACAAAGATCAGTCCTAGAGTCACACGATCATAGAATCTCCTGAGTTGGAAGAGACCCACAAGGATCATCGAGTTCAACTGCTGACCTTGCACAGGACAATCTCAAGAATCACACCATATGTCTGAGAGTGTTGTCCAAATGCTTCTTGGCTTGGTGCCATGACCACTTCCCTGGGAAACCTGTTGCAGTGTCCAGCTACCCTGTGGTGGACACTTTTCCTAATATCCAACCTAAATGTCCTCTGACAGTGCTTCATGCTGTTTCTCCATGTCCTATCACTAGTCATCAGAGAGAAGAAATCAGGGCCTGCCCCTCTGCTTCTCCTTGTGAGGACAGATAATAACTTGTAACACAGATCTCTCTTTCCAAGGCTCTTCCTATTCCAAATGAAGACCGGATTAAACACCTCTTGGGACAAAATGCTTGGACCTCCCAGAAGAATGAGCTCGCCTGCTTCTACCCACGCCTGGCATCTAAATCAGAGACAGGAAAGATTGGGTTAATTAACTTGGGAAACACCTGTTACATGAACAGCATCATACAGTCTCTTTTCATGGCTTCGGAGTGAGTTTTTCCTCCCTTGCTCCCACTCAAGGCTGCTCCAGGGCTTACTCGCCACACCAGCCTTGCATGTCCCACACTGATTTTCCATCTCACAGATTGCATCTCTGCTTTTCTTTCGCAGCTTTCGGCATTCAGTGTTGAATTTAACTGAGGGCAACTCCCAGCCCCTGATGACAAAGCTCCAGTGGCTCTTTGCATTTTTGGAGCACAGTCAGGTAATTATTTCATGTTCTAGTTATTTGTTTGGACTGTCGGCTGCGGAAAGGCTCGTCTCCAAGTTGCTTCCTGCCGGCTCCAGTGTGCTGATAAGGAGCTGTGGATCTTGGTGGGTTTTTATAACGGGACAAATTTTGTTTATATGAAGGAGGTTAATTTTGGGGGTGGAGGAGGGAAGCTCCTATCACCCATGAAAGAGAGCTGTGTTCACACCAGGCTGCCTATCTTCAGCCTGTGGTCTTCTTGGGTTGGGCTGACGTAATAACTAATAGTGTTGACAGTGAAGTCCCTTTGGTAATAGTTTACATCTGTGGGCAGCTGAAAAGCCTGTTAGTGTAAAGCAGAGGTTTTGTTTCTTGCTATGCAGCAAGGAAAAAGACTGGAGCAGCTCACTTGTCCCATTACTCCACAGCAAAGCACAAGCACTCAATGAAAATTGCCTTAAAAGTTGTTTTGTTAAAAGAATGATAATAAAAAAACCTTTAGACTCCAATGCTTTGAATCCTCTGTGAGGGAAAGTAAAATAAAAATAACACCCTTAAACTAATTATGAATGTTTCCATGACAAGCATGAAATTTAATAGATTAATTTAATCCTGGAGATATGGCTAAGTCATATCTAACTCCTCTCTTGAAAATGTATCTTTCTGTCCCTAGAAAGATGAGATTTTGAAATTCCAGTGAATTTTCCTTTGCTGGGTAATGAGTCATCTGGGATTCTCCACTTTTTAAGCCTTGACTGACAGAGCTGGGTTGTGGCATTGTGGTATTATGTCACTACAGATGACTTAGGGGGAAAATATAGACATCCTGTTAAATTTAATATTTGATCATAGAAGAGCTTTTGATAGCAGGTTAGGGCATCTGTGTTCTGTGGTGAGTTGTGTAGTGATGGTTAATAGTTTCCTGCTAATTTCCTTTTAGTTATTTTTCATCTTTGGGCTGTTCTCAAAGTCCCTTTTTTACCAAATATGGGTCTTTTTCCATGTTAATTAGACAGCTGCTTCCTAATGGCATCAATTACATTATCTGCTAAAACAGATTACCTGCCTGCAGTGATCAGAATGTTGGGTGGAAGTTTAGTGGATTTTTTGCTTTGCTTTTTCTTTTTTTTTTAGTGAAAGGATTTGGTGAGAGAGATCCTGATCAAATTAAATGGAGCAGCAAATTAAATTCAGACTGAATTAAGCAGAATTATCTGGATCAGGCCAATAAACCATTTTAAAATTGAAGGATAGACATATGAATATTTTATAGAAGTATATATAAAATAATGTCTGAAATTCATCCTTACTGTCCTGGCTTGTAGCAAACCAAGAAAGTCTTCCTGTGCATTGGGATTAGCCTTTGTAGGGAGAAAAAAGGGATCTTACCAAGCACAGAACAGTGTGCTCCCAGTGAAACAGCCAGAGAGGCATTCCTCTCCCTCTCCATCCTGCTATGTGAACTGAACAAAATCCCTAGGATTAATTGCATTTCTCCTGTGTTGCTGGCAGCGACCTGCCATCTCACCTGAGAGCTTCCTCTCTGCGTCCTGGCCACCCTGGTTCACCCCTGGAGCTCAGCAGGACTGCTCAGAGTATCTCAAGTACTTGCTGGACCGGTACGTGACAAGCTTTGTGATTTTGGAGCCTGGTGTCAGTGGCATCCCTGGACCAAACGTAATGTTTAATGCTGACCCACATGCACATGAGAGTGGAGGCTTGGGGTGAGAGATGGTGAAACTAATCAGAGGCTCCTTGATAAAACCCTGATTGGGCAGCCTTAGGGGTAAGGTCAGAACTTAGTCAGCTTGAAAATTTCTACCTTTGCTCTGAAGGAAAGGGAATTCATAGAATCATAGCATCATTAAGGTTGGAAAAGACCTCATGATCCAACCATTAACCTGATACTGCCAAGCCCATCACTAAACCATGTCCCTAAATGCCACATCTACACATTTTTTGAACACTTCAAATACTGGATGCAGGAATGGTGATTTCACCACTTCCTTGGGCAGTCTGTTCCAATGCTTGACAACCCTTCCAGTGAAGAAATTTTTTCTGATATCCAGTCTAAAGTTGTACCAGCTCTAGAGATTTACCTGACAAGCCACTCAGCCTCCTCTGTAAAATGGTGGGCTTTGCCTTTCTCTTACCTAGAAATACCAAATCTCTGGTGTGCCAGTGATCCCTCTGGAAGTGGGGAGTCAATGTCACACAGAGCCTTCAGGTTCCCCAGTCCTGCTCAACTCCTTCATACCTTCCTCCCACAGCATCAGACCTCTGGGTACAGTCAGGTGAACTGGGATTAACCTCTTGGAGTGAAGAACAGGAACCTTACTTTAGAAACTACCTCTTGGTGTTGTGTTGATGAATAATGCAACCTTTCTCTCTCCCCTGCTAAAGATTGCATGAAGAAGAAAAAACTGGGAAAAGGATCTACCAGAAACTCAAGGAATCCAGCTTGATGTCTCAGGCAGTAGAGCATCATTACTTAAACAAGACATTGATTGAGAAGATGTTTGGGGGTAAAATGATGACAAAGATCCGCTGCTTGAAGTGCCTGAACGTCTCTTCCCGAGAAGAAGCCTTCACAGACCTGTCCCTGGCTTTTCCTCCCTCAGACAGGAACATGCATGGGAGCACACCTATTCTACCAGTGGAAGAAATCGGCCCACAGTTCATTGAGCCTCCTGAAAATGCAGGCCAGCTTGCAGGGTCTCCCTGGATCCGGAGGAAGGACCCCATGGCCGGGGACCCTGCAACCCTGCCGATGCTGGTGGAAACATTGGGTTTCCAGGAGCCGGGAAAAGCAGCAAATCCCTTAAGTGGCAATGATGTTAGCGTGGATACAGCCAAAGACCCTTTCTCGGCTTTTGGGGAGCAGGCATGTGCTCCCAAGGACTCCAGATCTGTCCCAGATCTAATCAACTATTTTCTATCTCCAGAGAGACTGACAGCAGAGAATAAATACCACTGTGAGAAATGTGCATCCTTGCAGGATGCAGAGAAGGTGGCAGAGCTGACAGAGGGTCCACACTACCTCATCCTCACGCTGCTGCGCTTCTCCTTCGACCCACGGACTATGAAGAGGAAGAAGATCTTGGACAACATCTCCATCCCTGTGGTGCTCAAGCTACCCATTCTTGTTGCTCCAGAGGAAACTGAGGTTTGCCAGTGTGGGAAGGATAGTGCTGCCCCGGGAAGTGGCTTCATGTCTGTATTGTACGATCTCTGCAGTGTAGTGGTGCATTCGGGCATCTCCTCTGAGAGCGGCCACTACTACTGCTACTCCAGGGAGTGCACTGACGCTGTCCCCCACGAGCAGCCCCGGGATGGGGTGCCAAAACCAGCCTCTGACAAGCAGCTGGACTTTGAAATCCAGTGGTACCTATTCAATGACACCAGAGTTTCCTTCTCCTCCTTCGAATCAGTCAGCAATGTCACCTCGTTCTTCCCCAAAGACACTGCCTACGTCCTCTTCTACAGGCAGCGGCCGGGCAGGCAGAGCTGCCTGCTGCACGAGGCTGAGGCCGGCCGCCTGCATGGAGAACCCTCCCTCCAGAAGGACTTGATGGAAGCAATTTCCAAAGATAACATCCTCTACCTGCAGGTAACTCCTGCTGCTGTGCACAGCAGGGTGCGATCCTGCAGCTGTCTGGCTCATGGGCCATGTTCCCACCCATGCGGGCAGCAGTGGGATTATGTCCTGTGGTTAAAGTCCTGCAGATACCCACCCACTCCCTGAAGCCAAATCCCTTTTCCTTTTAGCACCCAGATATAAACAGGTTACAGTTTCCTGATGAAACTGGGCACTGATTTTGGTACAAGACACCTTGTGGCTGTGCTTGGGGTTGACTTGCTGTTATCTGCCCTTGGGAGTTCAGCCTGAAATTTTCTTCTAAGTGACTGGAAGAGACAGAATGATGGAATATTTTGGGTTAGAAGGGACCTTTAAAGGCCATCTAGTCCAACCCCTTACAGGATGAGCAGGGACATCTTCAACTAGATCAGATTGCTCAAAGCCCCGTCCAGCCTGACCTTGAATGTTTCCAGGGATGGACTATCTACAACCTCTCTGGGAAATCTGTGCCAGTGCCTCACCACCCTCATTGTAAAAAACTTGTTCCTTACATTCTACCTTTTCCTCTTCTTCCCACCTTTGCTCACTGGTAACCAGCTGTTCCTTCCTACCACCTCTGACATTCACCATTGCAAGTCAGGTTGTTTTTTTTTTCTCCTTGTTATCATAGAATCACAGGATGGTTTGGGTTAGAAGGAACTTAAAGGCCATCTAGTTCCAACTCCTGGCCTTGGGCAGGGACACCTTCCACTAGATTGAGTTGCTCAAAGCCCCATCCAGCCTGAGGTTGAACACTTCCAGCAATGGGGTATCCACAGCTTTCCTGGGCAAATAGGTGAGCTGGGAATACAAACTAGAACAGATTTCATTCAGCTGGTGGAGTTCAATGCTTTCCAAACAGTAGCATCCCATATGACAGGAACAGCATGTGGGAGAATTTGAGCGGTTCCTCCTCTCCCAGAGGTGATATGGAAGGGAGCTGGAGCAATGCAATGCTTTGGTGCATCCTTCTCACTGAACTCTTAAGATGAGCATGTGGGCTTCACACCCCAGTTTAATTTGGAGGAGGCTCCCAGGGGTCAGCAAACAGGCTTCTGGCTCCTCAGGATGGTGGTAGCATCCTCCCACCTGTGTCCTTCAGCTGCTGATATACTTGTGGCTTTTTTTCCCCTTCTTTCTTCCAGGAACAAGAAAAAGAAGCAAGGAACAGAGCTGCCTACATTTCTGCCTTGCCGAAATCCCCGCTGTGGTGGAAAGACTTGGACAGGGACAAGGATGATGACAGCTCCTCAGGGGGCTGCAGCCCAGCAGCAGGTGGGGGCGGATCTGGCTCCTTTCACGGACTTGTCTTCTAGCCAATGGGTTAAACCAGATAGGCAGTGTCCGTGGAGCCAACCTGAAGCCAGAGGCTCCTCTTCCTCACCCTGATGACAGGGAGCACCTCTGAGGAGGATTTGAGAAACATTTCAATGTAAAAGGACTCAGGGGCCGATCTGGAGGCATCTAGAGGGTCTTGCTGCTTCCTATGCACTTGGTCTTCATGCCTTAATGTACCTAAGCTAATGCGATGAGCAGCTGCTGACAGCTCGGAGAAGTGCCCTTTTGCTTCAGCGTAACCATGCCTTTGCCTGCTGTGAGCCATGCCACTAGCCTGGGGAGGGGACAGGGTCAGGCACGGGGAGGAAGACAGACCCAGAGGGGCCCCAGGGATGGAGATATCCCACGCATATCCCATCTGCAGGCCTTCCCAAGGCGCTAAGTTTGTTTTGGGGGGACCTCTACTCAGTTGTTTTATTTCTTTGTAATGTGGTTTTGAGAACCCACCTTGACACACCTTTAACGGTAAAGAAAGGCTGAAAAGTCTGAAAACTGCCAAGCATCCAATGTAGCAATGCTGATCTGTGAGGCAGTGAGCGTGCAAGCCTGCTTGGTCACAGTAAGCAATGGCAGGCTGACCAGAGGGGCTTTATGCTGCGTTGCAAGGCATCTGAAAGAGACTGAAGGGCACAAACCCCTCCAGCCAAGAGAGACTGACCTGAACCAGTTGGGGGTTCTGGGCTCCAGTGAAGACCTGCTGTGTTAGTCGTGACCTCAGGATACTGTTAGTGTGCACAGCAGGCCCAGACATACAGCTGTTTTTACAGATGTGTCTTTAGGTCTCAGTTAGCCTCTTTCTCCTGCTGTCATTTGATGGCTTTCTGGGCTGTATCCACCCTTTAAAATTTGGGCTTTCCTTTGGGATACCCTGCACTGAGCAGCAAATGACAGAGCCCCCCTAACCTCACTAGCTATTTAAAAAAAAAAAAGCTGATTTGCAAGGAGAGGAGCCCAACCAGATATATTATATCAACCCAATATGAATATATACTATGTAAACCAATGTATTATATAAATCAGTAATGGGACAAGAGCTGAATTTGGTGACAGGTGGCCAGCTCAGGCCCCAGATAGCACATCCACAGGACCACAGCTCCCTCCCCAGCTGTTGTCCCCAGCCTGCTCCCCCCTCATGCCTCTAGTAGAGATATCTCTAGCTCAAGCGGCAGAGACTTGTGCCTTAGGTCCTAAGTGCAGGGCCTAATCCTGACCATGGGTATTGGGGTGGGAATACTGTATTGCTGTGGAGAAAAGGCAAAACACAGACATTGCTATGGATAACATGAGCAGAAAGTCTGCTAGAGAGGACATTTCTGATCAAATCTCTGATGCGTACTATCATATTCTTTTATTGCCTTTCCTATATATAAATAAAGGAAATTAAGTAATTCAACATAGAGACTTAGTGTCTTATTGCAGTTCTCACAGCTATTGGGCTGATGGGTCAAAAAAGAGATGGGGAAGCTGATACCAGAGGAGCATCCAACTTCACAGATGTGGACAATCCTGCAGAGAGGTGGCTTGGAACAGGAGAGCAGGCAGAGTTGGAATGGGGATCCCAGCCCACAGCTGGGTGCATCCTGACAGAAGACCACAAATCTAATAGTGGGGTCCTGCAGATGAGCAGTGGAGTGTGTTTCTTGCCTTAAAGTCAGATAGACTCAAGGCAGTGCTACGAGGGAATAAATACGGACCCAAAGCTTAAGTTTCCCAGAAAGTACAGTGTTTCCTGGTTTTATTAACAGACTTCTATTTACCTCCTGTTCAAGGAGGTTGCCAAAAGTTTTCCTGTTGCTGTTATGCTAGCTCCTTTCTTTGTGCTGGAGTGTCATCTGGAGGGATTTTCTGGGCTGTGTGCTATAAGGTGCTTTTGTAGGAGACTCTCTTTCCTTGATGAGATTCTAATCTAAATAATGAAGGCAGATAGTCAAACCAACATGGAAAACGGAGAGGCTGTATCATAGTCATGCTCTTCCCTGAATATGTCTTTTTTCCCCCCAAGGTATTCTGAGATGAGCAGAGGCAAATAGCATGCAGTACTCAACATGGTTAGTAACCTGGAGAGTTTCAATGTTGTAATGAGGTTGTTTGGTTTAGTCCCTGTTCATTTCCTGTAATTATTAGCATTGGAGTTTGCTTTTGGACTCAGCCAATCCCACTATGTCATTGATGAAGATACTAAATAGTACTGGTCCCAGTATGAATCCTTGAGGGACACCACTCATTGCTGATTTCCATTTGGACACTGAGTCATTGACTGTAACTCTTCTGATGCAACCATCCAGCCAATTCCTTATCCATCTAATGGTCCAGCTATTCATCAAACCCATCTCTTTCCAATTCAGGGGTAAGAATGTTATAGGGGACCATATTAAAGGCCTTACAGAGCTCCAGTATAGCGTGAGTAAGGTATATTACTATGTGCTACAACAATTATAGTATATACTGTATTATTAGTACTAGTAATGCCAGTGATATTTGCATATTGTATATTGATAAAGTATATGCTATAGTATATGTGATAGTATGGCCTGTAGTGTCTGTCACACATGCTTCTGGTCAAGGAGAACCCAGAGGGGAGTCTTCAGCTCTTGGTTTGGGATCCCAGATGTGCTGCAGATGTGAGGTGATGCTACTCTTGTCTAAAAAGGGTGTTACAGGGGCTGTGCTTATGGACTTATCTTTCCAAGGTTGTCTTTTTTTTTTAAGAAAAAGTACAAATAAGTGCCTTGAAAGAGAGGGTTGAACTTTTTAACTCTGGGGAAAGAATTTGTCATTGTGCTTATGTTCTGTGGGTGATTTGGGGCTCACAGGTGTCGAGCTGATGATGGGTGGGGAAGGCAGCACTTGTCCTCACTCTGCACACACTAAAGCAGACTTATAGTAGGACATTCAGTTTAGCAGCTGGGAAACACATGGTTTGGGTTCTGGTATCAGAAAACCCCCTAGCTGCATCCTAAAGGTCCTCATTACCCAGACAGGACAACTTGAAGCTGTAGGAGACACTTGGTGACATGCTGAGAAGATGCTCTGAAAACTTTAAAGGTGCTACATAATCGAACTTCATCTGCTCTGCTCATGAATTCCCCCCTTCTCTCCCCACTCTGAATCCATGCTGGGAATCATCAGTGAGAGATGTCTTTTTATTATCATTCTTTTATTTTCCCGTTGCTTTCCCGTTGCATATACAGTACTTAAAAATGAGATCACCTTCACGTCAGGCATGTACCATGTTTATTAACAGCAAAAAAAGTATTATCTAGGCTTCACTCAAGACCGATTTACAGGATAAATAATTGTTTCAAATTACCTTTAAAAAAACCAAACAACAAACCCCCAAAGAATAAATTAATAACTTAAGTGATTAGCTGTCCACAGTGATTGGAAAACTTAATAACCATTCAAACAGTGACACCACAAGAAGACACATACTGTACAGTTTGCCACAAATTACTCTTTTCCTTCCTTCTACAAATGGAAATCAAAAAATTAAAAATACTCCTCTTTAAGAACAGTCATAGGCTTTGAAACACACAAAATGTCCCTGCGAATTGGCTGCCGATGCAACAGCTTCACAGCCGGGGCTCCGGCCCCTCCTCGCAGCAGGTTAAGAGACAAATGGAAAAAACTACCCTAATTTGGCTGCGTCTGTTCCCACACAATGATGCCCAAAGTCACTGGGGACACGCTGACTTTGCCAAGGGCTGGGTTGAGAGGGATATAACTACTCTAAAGGTTTGATCCTAACCCTAAGGAACTCTTCAACAGGCTCCCTTCAACAGGAGCCCAGGGTCCTGCTCCCTTCCTCTGTCTGAGACGTGCTTCAGCCACCACGTCCAAAGGGACCAGCTGGCCATGGGTTGGAAGGAGGGTAGCTGTTTGGTGGCACCTTGCTACATATCAACTACTGAATTAACAACCTGATCAACAGTACAACACTAGGAGTTGTGAACAAGGAGATAAAATTGTGACTACAATGATGGGACACCAAGGAGAAATCATGACCAAAAGGTGCATGTCTCTACCTGCAAGAACCTCATTAACAGCTAAAAGATCATTGCATCCATGTGGGCAGGTTTGGCAGAGAAGACAGGCACACAGACTCATCAGGGGCCTAAATTGGTTTATTGGCCCTTGTGAGTTGATGCTGGACTGGTCCCTCTGATTTTCTTGACAGTTCTTTGATGTCCATGCATGTTCTCTGACTGATGTCAGGGTTAGGCTTTGCTCTTCCCCCTTCCTGTTACAGATGGGGCTTCTCCATAATCACAGCCCCACTGTACCCATCTCATCCAGACAGGATCTCTTCAATGGGGCACATAATGTGGGTGACTGTCAACTTTTACATGGAATGGAACTTTTACATCATCAGGTGGGAAAACATCAACACAATGCAAGCATGACTTGAGAAAACCATTCTCTTACCTCCTAGGCCAGAAAGATCAGACAGGACCTGGGAACTATTTTAACATCTTCCTACTAAAGTCCATACCACATAAGACCTGGGCATAGCTCTAACCCTCCCAAGGGGCCATGATCAATGGGTAGCCAAAAAGCCAACTCTTCCTGGTATGCTCAAGGGACTAGGATCCTAGAATCACTAGATCTTAGAATTTGCCATGCTGGCAAACTCCCCTGCCTTCTCTCCTTCCAACCACATGTTCCCCCATATATCAGCCTTGTCAGTGGCTTGTCGCTCAGTGTCCAAATCTATCCTAGTTAGCCCCCATCAACCCAAGCCTTAGCTACCTTTTGGTTCTGGCTCTGTATTTAGCCTTATCTGCCAGACTCTCAGCTTTGCCCTGGCATAGTCTGCACTCACACATATTTTCTTTCCCCAACTTGAGACTAAGCCTAAGCCTGGCATCCATTTAGAGCTGGAAATGTATTTCACACTAAACACTCAAATGTCAGCTCAGAGCAAATCAACTCCAAGGCACAACTCACCAGACAGTGTGCAGCAGTTGCACACTCACAGCAAGGGATACACAGTTTTGGAGACTTTTGCCTTTAAACCCAACAGCTTAGAAATTTTAAAGCTTGGGGGAAAGCTTTAAGCCATGGCCCTGGTGCTTCATAAGAAGTAAATAATTGAGGTCATGATGCTTGTCCTGCCACACACATGCAAGCACATCCCTTTTCTAAATGGGACTGTAGAGCTGTAGAGCAGGCTCTGACGTGAAGGCTCAAGCCATTTTAATTGCAATTAAAATGAATAATTTGCAATGTTCTCAGCTTCCTAAAATGCGTATTTCTAACAAAAGAGTCAGTCATACTTGAGCATCCAAGTATAGAGTGGATGTGATAAACTCAATGCCTTCAGGACAAAGTTCTTGGCAGTCCATGTAATTAAAGCAGCTGCTTTTCAATATGGTTTAAGACTAAATACTGCACAAACATTAATCATCAGGGACTGCTGTAATCAGCTCAGCAATCGTCACAGATGACTATTTCCACTCAAGCCATTGATTACTTAACAGCTTTCAGGAGGGGTTGATACAGTCATGTCTATAAGGCATAGAGTCTGTGGGCAGCTACTCAGTTTGGAGGTGCTGTTTGCTTGGTGCATAGCAGGGGAAAAAACTGGAGAAACGTACCTGTTTCTGTGAGAACACAGACTTCACTGCAAAGCAGAGAGGGACGAGCAACCAGCAGTTGTAAAATAGCTACTTTTGGGCTGTTTTGGTCCTTGGTCTGCCAAATGCAACGGGCCAGTTACTGGCAATGCTCATGAGAGCAAATCATCAAAACAGGGGATCTGAGCCTGGGAAAAGTGCTATCCCATGCCAATGCTTGCCCTGTGAACAAATACAGACATCTGTGAAATGTGGAGAGAGAGGCCTAGTCTCTCCAGTATCACAAAAGGCCTTTTCAGTCTTAATTAACACTTTGGATTATATGTGAGAGTGGGTACTGGATGCACCTAGTCCCAGTGCAGAAGCACAGGGCACCCGCTCAGCAAACTGCATCCAAACCCATTGTGTTTCAATCAAACCCATTGTGTCTCAAGCCCCTGCACCATCAGAAATGACTACTGTTGCTGCCTCCACCTTGCCTGCCCACTTCCACGGTAGCGAGGTGCAGTGACAAAAGGGGTACTCCAGTCTTCATCATCTCACCAGACAAGTGTGCAAGACCCCAACAAGAGGCAATGGCCCTTACAGGCTGTAACACACTCCCTGACCTTCAGAAAGCATCTGACTGTGCTAAATCTTCCCCTTGGGTTTTTTTTTTTCTTCTAGTGGTTATTATTTTTACCATGAGCATTAGGATATTTGCTTCATTATTTCTGTCAAAGCCCAACACTTCAATGCCTTAAATGGGTTGTCAGAGCTTTTCCATTAACATCCTTCCCTTTCATGGCATGCAAGAAGAAAATGTAAAATGGTGTTGTAAGTTCAAAAGTTATTTTACCAGCATACCCTTTAAGGGACTGGTATCTCATCCCTTTGTGGGTCACGTCTGGCCCTTTCCAAACTCAAACCAAGATTAAACAAATGTGTTAACACTTAAGTATTAATAATCAATACAACTTGGTGGGTTTGGTGGAACACAGAGCTCATGGCACTGGGAGAGGTTCAGCTTGCAGAAGGAAAAGCTCCAGCTATTTAATAAATATTATTACCTCATCTTTCTAATGTCTCCTTCATTTGGCTCTCGGTTTGCAGTCAACCTGCTTATCCGTGTCAGCGCTTGCTGTCTGGCAATCAGGCTGCTCCATGGTAATCATAAGTCCTTCCTGTTTTCATGAGATCATGAATTATTATCTCTGCATTAAACTGTCTCATCCTTCTTGTCTCTCTGCATCCAGCAGCTGCCTGGAGAGTGATCCCAAAGCCCAGATGTGTTAAGGATGCTGGCAAGGGGCAACAGCAGATTCCCACCCATAGTCACAGTGTAGGGTTGTTAATGTCAGCAAGCCTCATTTCTGTGTTGAGCACTGCTGAACATGAGGAGAAAACAGTCCAGCCTTTTGGACCCTCCACAAACCAACCATAATGCTATGTTAAAGCTAATATTGAAACACCTTGCCCTGACTGTCCTGACCAGCCTCTTCCCAAGCCTATGACCTCACCATCAACCAACATTTCAATTACTCTCCTTCTTTCTTCCAAGAAACGCTCCACCAGACTTCCTCACTCAAGACCAACCTCTCCATCTGCCTTCTCCCAGTCCTTGCAGCAGCCTTCCACTCCCTTCTTGTCACTCCCATCCTTACACCAGTCCAGACACACAGGGTCTCCAGAGCCTCCCTGCACCCCTCAGAGCTTCTCACAGTGGCCACAGATGTAGGACTCTCACTACATGGGCTTCTTTTGGTGCCACAAAGGGCAGATTTTGGTTCTTGGAATCAGATTCACAGGAAGTGATTTCAGATAGGTAGTAGGTCAGGGCTTAAATTCTACCTTCCAAAGCCAATCTCTCCAGCCCATTGACTTTGAGAGATGACGGAAAATATCATCAGAAGACACCCCAACAAACTTGTGTGAGCTTGTACCAGCATGTCTGTGTGTGCACGATGGGGTAAATCCTGGGCTTTTAAGTCAGCTCAATGCCAACAGTGTGGATGCTCCTCAAGCTTCTGAAAGTTAACAATCCCAACCAAAACCACAGGGGCAGTTCTGACCAGGAGGAGAACAGCCCTCAGAGGTTTGGAGCATATTATTTACAAGAGATCAGACAGCAAAAGTGATTTCAAAAGGAACGGTCCTTGCTAAGTTTTGGGATTGGGATGAGGCAGAGAAGAGGACAACCGTAAGGAATGGAGAATCAGAGCTGAGAATGATGTCCCATGGGAGATGCTGCAAACCTGCATGGCATGGTTTGGGGTATGGTATGGAAGAAGATGGGGAGAGATGATGCAGTGTTAGCACATACAAGGTGGCTTTGACAGCTGCAAGCAAAAGATGTGTAGGGTGAAACCTGGTATTGCTAAGTTGAAGTTCCTGGATAGTGCATCCAGCAGCTAAAGCACAAAACTAGCCACCGAACACAGTTGGTCTTTATCACTGGCAAACAGTATCCGCCAAGTCTTCCCTTGAAATTAAGTTTCGTTTTGTTTTAAGAGAAAAAAAAATAATGAGACCCCCTTCCCTCCACAGACAAGTCTTAGAAATCCAGCCCAAGAGGAGCTGGGGAAAACTGACAGGACATTGGCCTGGTTTGATGCCTGCTGCAGGCACTACTGCTTCACGCTCTTGGCAGGCTCCGAGGACTGCCGCACATCAGTCCACTCCTGCATGGTGCTCTGCAGTGCCTGTGTCTTCTCCTTGTCCACTTGCACGTAATCAACCTTCTCATCTGAGGCGACCGACGAGGTGGAGGGCTGTGGGGAGGAGAAACAGGGTCACTCATCAGCTCCCTGCTTGTCCCTCTCGCTCCTTCCTGCAGCAGCACTGAGGGTGCCACAAGTTGGCCAACACCATTCCTACTTTCTTCCAGGCTCCATAGCTAATTGCCCTCCCTCTAACATCCCAAAGACTCTTGGATGAAAGATTTCAGTCTGCTCTGCCTCTTGCTGGCATGAGACTGCATGGGAGGGCAATGAGAGGGCAGAAACGGCATCTGGGTCTCTACGTTCCCTCAAACTCTGGGACACAGATGTTTGGTTGCAATTTTGTTCTCTAACTGCTGATATTGCAAATTCAGCCTTATATCTTGCTCATTTTTTTGTAAAAAACTCAGAAACTCTTACAGATACACATAAAAATCCCTGCTCCATTCCTTTTAGCATTGTTGTTTCTACCCACATGTGACACTAACTCATTTTCACACTCAAAACAACAGATATGTTTGCAGATTCACCCAGGAGACATGTTAAGGAAGAAGGAGATACTTTTTACCATAGTTTCTGGAGTCCTGGAGGTTTTTCTGCCTCTACAACCATTTCAGAGGACCTCCATCTGCTTGCAGCTGGACCAGATAATGTTTTAAAGTGGTTTAAAATCACTTTTCCAGGATAGGATATAATTTAAATGGGTAGTACTTGCAAAAATATTGCTGGGTAGACAGAAACCATCAAGGGACAACTGTCAAATAATAAAAAGATCTAACCAGTGGGATGCTTTGCCTAGGAAACAGTGCAGTGTTTGGGAAAGTGAGGCCAACTCACAAGTGGTTGCCACAAAGCTTTATACAATCCCTTCCTCCACTGTCCCCTCACTCAGGTGCTGCTTTGTTGAAGTCAGTCCCTCCTTCCCCCTCCAAGTTTCCTCAGGATGGCATCCAGCAGGACCTGCCTTTGTTCTCTGTCCAGCCTGCTCTGTCACCTCTGGGTGTCCTCTTCATCTTGGTATATGGCTTTGCATGTGAAACCTCCATGAGACTTTTAGGTCTCTTCTATCACCTCAGGAGACAGAGCTTCCTTTGGATATGTGGATGTCCTGAGATACTTTATTGCCCTGTTTTTCTATGATTTGATTAAAGATGGTGTTTGTTTCCTCTGTGTATGAACCTGGAGAAAAGTCACCAACTTCTGTGTCTTTAGGAGCGTCCCTTTCCACATTTCCATGACGCTTGACAGAAGTATCCCATTCCTGACTCATCTCCCCACAACTCTTCCTCAACAGGCAATGGCTTGATCAGCTGAACATTATTTAACTTTTAAAGGTCAGCTTAATTTTTTGAAAGCAGTTCTTCTCCTGCCCAAATGACACCCTTTGAAAGCACCTGACTGGCAGGAGACAGGTTCCCAGCATTTTCTGAATAAGGTCCTGAAAGTATTTCAGATACTTTCGGGTGAGGGGGAAAACCCAAGCCTAGTTTTGGAGGATGTGTTGCTTTGAAAGAGGAAAAAAAATATTCTGGTACTTCTTGGGGATTCCTCCTGACAGCTTTTGAATACAAACTCTAGCTGAATTTCTGGTCTCATCAGCACCCCTGAACCCCTGCACACCCATGCTTCTGGTGACCTTCCAGCAGGGCTGCAGACATGCAAGAGACACTGACTCTGACTAGAGTAAATACAGAAGTGGGGGTTATAGAATGGTTTGGGTTGGAAAGGACCTTAAAGATCATCTTGTTTCAACTATGCCATGGGCAGGGGCAGCTTCCACTAGACCAGGTTGCTCAAAGCCCCAACCAACCTGGCCTTGAACACTTCCAGGGATGGGGCATCCACAGCTTCTTAGGGCATCCTGTGCCACTGCCTCACCACAGTAAAAGATTTCTGCCTAATATCTAATCTAAATCCACCCTCTATCAGTTTGGAGCCATTTCCCCTTGTCCTTTTACTCCATGCCCTTGTCCAAAGTCCCTCTCCAGTTCTCCTGCAGCCCCTTTAGGTACTGGAATGAGCTCTAAGGTCTCCCTGGAGCCTTTTTTCCTCTAGGCTGAACAATTCCATCTCTCTCAGCCTGTCTCCACAGCAGAGGTGCTCCAGTTCTCTGATCATGAGAGACTCTTGAGACCACGGTACAGGACTTTGGACCATGCTATTGTCAATCTGCATAGAACTCCTTAAATATGCATCACTTTTAATCAGAAGTTTATAAAATCCCCCATACCTTTCTGTGTGGCCCTGGAGAGCTTGGCTGGAAGTCCAGGGCCAAGTAATCCACACTCCCCGAACTCTTTTTAGGCGCTGGGCTGTTGGTACCACTAGGAACAGGAGAAGCAGAAATGGGGTTTTGCTAATGCAGGGAAGAGACAGGAGAGATAATGAGGATTAAAATGGGAATAAAGAAAAAAGGGAATAAACACAAATCTGGCAGAAAAACGCCTTGGTGGTACTTATTTAAAAGAGCCTGGATATTTGGTCACTCGCCTCTGGAACCAGGGTGTGGAGAACTGCTGGGGGACTACATATGTTGTATGTTGTGCTAACAAATATTTCAAGCTTATGTTCTTGATTTCATATATTGGAGCAGTTCTTCTGCCTTTGTGCTGATTTTATTCATATGTCTGACAACAGATGTGGGCTTTAGCATGTCCCAGGAACCACACCTCAGTGAGGCCAGGCCAGCTCTGAGATCTTCGCTAATCACAACCATGCTACACAGAGCACTGATTTCCTCTACCCCACGAGTTACATAAACTCAAAAATATGCTTAAGTCAGCAGCTCCACCAAGAGAGACAAAATCCCCTCCCTGTAAGCAGTGCCGCTCCCTGCTGCTGCTGCTGTGATAGCCCCTGCCCTCCATACAAATATGATGTCAGTAGATATTAGGGGGAAAAAAAACTTGAAAAAAATCAACCTCAATTAGGAAAATACACCCTGACAGTTCTTGTACATTTTTACCCCCTCTTAATTCCTGGCAAAGTAGGTGAAATATGTTTTGCTCTCATATGCATTTTAAAACCCCAACGGGACATGTCATTTTCAGAACGAAGCACGCTGTTTTGTGCATGCAGGGGTGTATGTAAGGATGGACATCGCACAGTCCTATCTGCGCACCTCCATGTCACGAGCTAGGAATGCGTTTGCAGAGCTGTGGAATGTGTATGTCCTGCCAGGACCATCTATCTTAGCTGTGGGGCCCTTACCATCGCCACGTAGTTCTCCTCGCTGTCTCCCGAGTCAGTGCTGGTGATGCTCTGGGAGGAGACAGGGCGACAGTACTGCAGAGAGCCCGCGTTGAATGTCTGGCTGTAAGGACAAGGGTCGATGTGTTATCCATGGTGGCAGGTGCTTCTTGTTCATTGCCAAGGAGGACAGCTCCTGATGCCTAGAAACATTACCATGATCCAGTCTGGGGACTGGGCATGAAGAAGAGCTGGTGGCATTGAGGTTCTCCAACCCATCCTTTTCCATGAGTCAGAAATCACTGCGTTTGGTCTTCCCATTTCTTTTCTTTCTAGAATTTTTTGCTTGCTATGTACCTGTAATTCTCCTGCTATCACCTACACAAACCAGGCTCCATGAACTCTTTTATCTCACAGGAAACATTTAGTTGTGGAGGATGCAGGGCCAGCCTTGGTGAGGCCTCTCACCTCCAGCCTTACCACAGCTACAGGATTTGTTTACTGTACAGCGCCCTATCCAAATTTTTTGCTGGAAAACAAATCCTCCAAGGAATTGTCTTGCTTTCAATTGGCCAAATCTAATTATACCGAACAAAATAATGAAATCAGTGTCTGGCATTAAAGCCTGGGTCTTAAAAAGCTATTCGTTGCCTTTCAGTAAAGCAGGGTCATATGATTAGCTGATAAGGGAAAAATCCATTAGCTTCTCCAGGGTCGGACGTCTTGTCAATCAAACCCTGCTCGCCACTTCCCAGTGCAGTGATTTCAGTGCACAGCACTCATGCCCTGCAGTCAGTCTCCACACAATCCAATTTATTAGAGAAGTCATAGCAGCCAAGCTTTGCTTCTGCCTTTCACTGGACAACATCAGACCGTGAATTAGCAACAGAGCTGGAATTGTGTGAATCCTGTTATTTTTGGCCAGCAGACATAGCTCTGAAGAGCTTTAGTTTAATTTTGCAGACTTCCTTCAGGCTAGGCTTTGCTTTCAAGGCAATCAAAGCACGTCTTCGTCAGACCCCAGGAGTGTCATCCTGTGTTTTGAGACTACAGTAGGGTTTTTGGGGGGATAGCTGGATGTGAAATCATGCCCCACACCCCCAGTTGGTCTGGCTCAGCTGGGTCATGAGTTGTGGTGGACCACAGGTCCCATGTCAGAGCTGTAGCTCTCCAGATCCCAGAAACAGGAAATGTCTTCAAGGGATCTTAATTAGCTGCTCAGCCACATGCTGGGCTCAGCCACATGCTGGGCTCAGCCACATGTTGGGCTCAGCCACATGCTGGGCTTTCATGTGAAATCCCAACCTAAATGATTTTATCTTTCTGCCACCAGCTGCGATGTAGGGAACCTATGGCAGAGGTGACAGCACAGCTACATGTGGACACCAGCGAGAGCAAGACCAGAGAGCTGCTGCCGGATCAGAGCAAGAATTCATCCCCCAACCATTACTCACGTTGGCCTGGACCAGGATTTTGTGACTGGTGATTTGAAGGGAAGCTCATCGATGACAGTGTTGTTCCTCAGGTCCAGTGGTGATGGCTTTGCTGGGGGGAGGAAAAACCTTTATTCAGAGGCAGCATGTTCCTAGAATTCAGCATCCATGACAGGCATGAGAGGGTCCCCAGCAAACGGTCGATTACTTCCCATTCTGCTAATCAGCCCCCCAGCCCTCTTGCTGATGACAAATACCCCCAGCAAAAATCCCTGCACTCATTTATGCCAGGACTGAGAGAAAACAGTGAATTTCTCCCTCTGACCCACAGCCCCAAAGTGCATGGGTGGTCCCAAAAGGTGAGTGTGCCTCCTAGAGAATGAAGATCTGCTAAAAATGCCCAAACACCAGAGTATAAACCCATGCATCAAGGAATTGTGAAAACTCATTAGATGGGGACAAGACCAGGCTCTGCCAACCCTGAGTTACCTTTGTCTGGAGTGTTTTCCCATAGGGTATGGGAAAAGGCATCTGCAGGGTAACATGAAAGCTGTGGAAGAGTGCTATGCTCCAGCCCCAGCCCTTGTTCTGAGTGTTGATGGGGTTAGGTGTGGACGCCCTAATGATGAAAGCCCTCCTCCTCATGATCTCCTTGGTGACCTGTCAGGCAATGGACTGGGGAGGGAACTGGGGGATACTGGCAAAGCCCTGCAGGAAGAACTGCCTAGAAACAACCAGTAGGAAACAGCTGGAAAAATCTGAGTCATCTGAACAAGACATTGAGATTTTGGGGTGGAGCATAGGGAGGGGTGCAGGCAAAGGGGGTGAGATCCTGCCTGTGACATATATCTCCTGTAAATGCCTGGAAGGGCCTGATATGGGCTGTTCAAGCACCAGGAAAGTTACATTTGTACTATAAAGCTCCTGGAAGATGAAGGGGACGGGGGAGATCTGAAGGTCTCGTTGTGCTGGCAGTAGCAAAGTGCACCCCACCCAGAACTGTGCACAAGACGACAGATGTAGTCTGAGGTATGAGAAGAATAAAAGGATTCCTGTAAAGCTTTTCCCACAACCATTCCTACCTTTCCGGTCAGGTTTGAGGTTGCGGTTGACAGGTGGGGGCTGGATTTCACTCAGTCGTCTGTGACACTGCACCATGGCTCCTCCTTTATGCACAGGAAGGGTGGCTGAGGACAACCCCACCAGGTCAAAGTGATGCGGCCCAGGGCTCATGGGTATGTAGAGGTTTTGGGCATTGTCGTTGGCTTTCTCGGCATGGATTAGGGGTGAGGAACCAGGGTTCATGGGGACGTAGTTGTCCTCGGAGTCGGTACTGTGGGAGCGGGCCACTGCCGCCTTGGCTTGCTGGGGGACAAGAGGGAGGATGTGCTGTAAGTATCAGACTCTGCTCAACCCCATCCCACTATAAACCCTTCATCTCGTCATAAATGAATACACATCTGAAAGGGGAACTGCTCTAAAACCTAAGCACAGAGGGAAGGGATGGTCTGTCCCCACCTTGGCCATCAGTTTGCACTGAGAGGGTCCACCTTCTCAGTTTCCAAGACATTGCAACAACCTAAGTTTCAAGAAAGGTCTTCATCGCCCAGACTTGATCATCTTCTCATGATCAGAGTGAGCTGCAGAAACATGCTTAACCTGGAAAACCTTTCTTGCCTGGGCTCTGATTGTGACTAAAATGCGATATGAAAGGCTGCTTTAATGTAATTTCCAGCTCAGGAAATCTTAGAAAGTGCACAAAGTTCTGGCAATGTGTCAAAATTTAACTCAGAAGCATCCAAGGTTTTAAGGACTAAGTCAAACTCCTGGGCATTTTTTTTTTGGGTCAGAGTTCCAGGAAGATACACTATGTGGAAGCAAAGCTCTTCCTGCAGTGCTGGCTTAGGTTGTTGCAATTCCATCTGTTCCCGGCAGGCCACCATGATTTTAACTGAAATCATTAATAAAACCCTTCTTGACTTAGCTCTGCAGGACTGGGCTGTGAGGTCCAACCTGAAATCAACTTGTTCCTGAATCTATAAGGTGCAAGTGGGTGCCTACAATGTGGTGGCCAACATCAAGGCCCACTCACCAGGTAGGAGTTGTATCCATCGTTCATGGACTCGACCGACTGCACGGCACTGCTGCCCCCGTGCTGGGGGTACTCGTACGTCTCGCAAGAAGAAGCTGCAACACAACCACAAATTCACAACTTGTCCCACCACAACTGCCAATAAAAAGGGGTCCCTGAAAACAAGGTACTGTGAGGACAGTGTCTGTTCTTGTTGATCGAGATGCTCATGAGAAGACATGGTCTTTAGTCTGTCACAGACTCTCTGCTGTGCTCCTTCCCAATTAGCATCTCTCTGATGCACCAGCACAACTGCACGTGCTGTGTGGACCTAACCCGGTTCTGTCAAAGTACTGCAAAATCCCAGGGGTAAAGATAGATAAGGTACATCATGGTGACAAAACTGGTTTAAGGGAGAGCTCTGTTAGAGCTTGCTCAGCAGATCTAGGGGCTGGCAGCCTCCAGTAAGGGAAGGATGGGGTGAGGATGAGTGCTAAGCTCTTAGTCTACCTACTGCTGAGCATGGGTCTCATCTCAGCCTAAATGTTGGCATTGAGGTAGGGGGAGATGGAAGAGGCATTTCATAGAGCTATATGTAAAATTTACAGTGCATTTTCTCTCCAAGCCCCTTTTCTAAGTTTGCAGTTATGTCATTCTAAGTACAAGGTTTGGAAAGTGCATATTCATCCATGGCCCACTCGTGGCCAATGGGGACAGCAACTCTGCTGTGCTGGGAACATTGGGTCTTGGAGATGTGCAAAACCAAGGTGATGTGCAACCTGTGCAAAACCAAAGTTTTGCTCACCCACCTTGGTGAGAAAAACCAAGGCAGCTCCAGGCTGAAGTATGTTTTGATAAACCTCATTATGAATTGAAGGCAAACTAAAAATAGCTGAGATCACAAAAATCTGGTGACGGGCTCCATAAGCAAGCAGGTTTGGGGTTTTGGTTCAAGGTACAACATAGCCAATAGTCAGCTGAGCAGCTCTGGTGGATAGAACTCTGTGGATGCCTCTCCATGCCTGCTGAATAAAAAAAACAGGGCCAGACCCTGACTAGGGAGAGCTTCTTTGTGTCCACCCTTGGTTGATGCCAACAGCACTCCAGCTCTACCACAACCATGTGGGACTGATCTGCCCAAGGCTGGTAGACAGGACAAAGCCAACCCCGGCTCCCCACCCCTAAATTCACCTCGGTGCAATCTGCTGTTCTCCACCGCAGGCAGTGTGTTTCTCCGTGGAATGGTGGCTGCCATGGGGGCCAGACCTAGATTTTCACTGGGCTGGAGCCGCTGGGGCGGGCTGCCCCACCGTGGCTCCGTCTGCCCAGGTTTCGGGGGCCGTGGGGGTGGTGCAGCGGGTGAGTCGCTGGCAGCCACAGCCAAAGCATTGTGGTTCTTGTCCAGTGTAAATGTCCTGGGGATCTGGTAGATGGAGAGCGGGGTGGCAGGGATGTCATAGGAGTCCGTGGAGAGCTCCCCAAACTCCTTGCATAGGGTGTTGTTGGGAGTCTTGTAGGTGTAGACCTCCTCGTTATCTGTTTCAGAGCTGGTGAGGCTTGACTTGGGGTGGGTGTAGGAGCCAAAGGCGCGTGGGAGATCGTGCGCACTGTCCCTGAACTCCGAGTTGTGCCGGCTGGGTTTTGGCAGACTGTAAAAGCCATGGAGCTGCCCAGCAACCCCATTCACGCAGTGCCCATTGCCCTGAGAGAGCTTCTGGACTGCTGTGTCACTCCGCATGAAGAAGGCAGACCGTGTGGCTTGCGAGAAGCTGGCACTCCTGCAAAGGAAGGGGACAAAGGGGCTGAGATGGGGGGAGAGCTGGTCCTGGGGTGCAGCAAACTCTGCTTCTCCTTTTTGTCACCTTGCTGACTTTCATGAAGACCTAATGAATATACACCACAAGGGTGTAAAAGGTAGGCCTGGATTGGGTCTTTTTGCCTGCAAAGTTGTAACCATGCATGGGTCAGGCTTTTAGGGGCCACATACTCCCACCCAAAAAGGGCTCAGCCAGCCCCACACAGACATTTCCCTGTGGAAGAGACTCCTGCCCTGTATCAGTCATTTTTTTTTCAGAAGAACTGAAAGGGTTATGGGGGAGTTTTCAGTTGTGGCAAATCACTGGGAAAGTGCCAGACCTATGGGAAAAGCTGGGAGATGCTGGTTGCAACCCCTGCTCTGATGGAGTCCATGCTCTGCAGGGACAACAGGGACTCTGTTTCACGGAGCCAGCACGAGATGGCGCTCAGAAATAGGGTTTATTTGGGGAAAAAACTAGTGATGTTGTGATAAGACAAATGAATCCCTGCCACCTTTGGAGCTCAGTACACCCAGAGGAGGTCTCAGTTCTGGCAGGGTCCTTTCGGTCAAGGGCTTGAAACATCATGGGTTAATTATTCAGCATTGCCTGCCAATTAGCTACTATTACCCTCATTTTATGGATGAGTAAAGTAAGAGCTCCAGAGCTGAGAGGGGAGGGATTCCCAGCAGTCCTGCAGCCTGGCCCCGTGCACTGGGCATTGATCAGATGATTATTTCTGGCCCAGTTGCAGAAGCTGCCACTGGCCAGCTTGTTTCTGCTCACCAAAGCATTGGTGCTTGCTCCCTTCTCCTCTGGGTCCCAGCCACATGTGGGTTCTCAGAGGGTGGCTTTTAGGTATCCTCACAGCTGGAGCGTCAGAGGGCCATTTTTTTAAACACTGTTCCATTAACTCCATCTGAAGTTAATTTTTCTGAGCCTTTTTCTCTTGTTGTTTTTCGAGTAGGGAAAGTCAGCTGCAGCAGGAAAGCCCAGTGGAGGCTGCAGCCCAGGCTCTGCTCTCACTCCACGCCAGCTGGTTTCTGACTGTCTCTCCCCTCCCTCCCTCCTCGCTGCTCCTGCGAGCCAAAACTCTTCACGTCAAAAAAACTCCTCGCTATTTAAGGCAACCGGCTGGGTCTGGAGGCGGAGAGCTGCTGCTCGCTCAGAAATACCACGCCGTGTCCAACCAGCTGCCGCGAAGCCCAGCGAGCTCTGGAAGGGGTGACTGGCAAAGGGTGCAAACCCTGCCCATCCCTTTGTTTGCTGTTTTTCTGATTAAAGGCAGGAGTTAGGGCCCTGCCTGGAGGATCACAAAGCGGTTGAGGTTGGAAGGGATCTGTAGAAGTAATCTGGTCTAACCCCCTGCTCAAGCAGGGTGACCTAGAGCTGGTTGCCTAGGACTGTGCCCAGACAGCTTTGGAGTATCTCCAAGAATGGAGACTCCTAAACCTCACTGGACAACCTGTGCTACTGTTCAGTCACTTACAGTGAAAAAGTGTTTCCTGCTGTTCAGAGGAGCCTTCCTGTGTTTAAGTTTGTGCCCATGGCCTCTGGTCCCGGCACAGAGCATCACTAACAAGAACCTGGCTCCATCCTCTTTGCACCCTCCCCATAGGGAGATCCCCCTGAGCCTTCTCTTCTACTAGCTGAACAGTTCCAGCTCTCACAGCCTTTCCTCTTAGGAGATATGTTCCAGTTGTTTCAGCAACTACATGGCCCTTTGAACTGGACCCAGTATTGACCCCTTGGGTACACTTCTAGTGCTGGTCTTCACCTAGACTTTGTGACACTGATCACCATCCTCTGGGTCTGGCCATTCAGGCAGTTTTTAACACAAACCAAAAAAGCCAGGAAAGCTGTGAACTTGTGACCTCCTCCTCCCAACCATGATGAGATGAGACCATTGCTCAGGGCTTTCTGCAGGTAGGTTTTGCAGAGCTCCAAGGATGGAGGGAGGTTGAGCCACTGATACTCAGCCCTCCCTCAGCTGTCCCTGAGGTTTTCTCCCAGGTGGGCTACAATACCTTGCATTTTCTGACTTTCTGCTCATGCACTGGTGGAGAAAAAGGTAGTCCTGGGGGGCACTGGCAGACAGGGTGCTCTGGAGGTGGCTGGCAGGTGAGTCGAAGGTGAACAGGGTGGGCTGGCTGGAGTGGGACGGTGCTGAGGACTTGCGCTCTCGCAGCAGGTGGTGGCTGGCACTGCTGAGCTCTGCCGGGGAGGACCGCGGTGCGTGGTTCATGGAGGCAATGCTCCTCAGGGTGTCTGTGCAGGGAGAAAACAGACACGTGAGTGGCAGATGGAGATACCCCACAACCTGTGTTTCCAGGATTTTCCTTACTTAAATGTTCTGTCACTTATGGAGGTCAGTGGGGTTGGCTTATGACTCCAAGTGATGTTCTCAGCTCTTCTACTTGGAGCACATGTAACTATAGGTACCATGTATGGAATCATATTTCATCATTTTATCCTATTTCACCACATGCTTAGTGGCTTGCAGGGATGTCTGCGGGATGTCGGCCTTTTTCATGGGGAGAGCAGTAGGTTGTTAAAACCTGATTTAAAAACGAAGAGAGGAGCTTTCACACCACAGCGAGATGTGATTTAAGTCACCCCCATCCCTCTGTGTAAGGGTATCACTGCCACCCCTTTAGAGTTGGTATGAGGTACAGGGTGGGAATCTGGATGGACACAACGGCAGTGGAGATGAAAAAATATTCTCATGTTTCCCAATTCCCTACTAATTTTGTGGCCTCAAGAGAGGTCCTGCTATTTTATGCTAATAAAATTGGATGCAGAGCCAGTACATGACTCCTAGTGCCCACTCCCCCTGCTTAAGGAGAAACAGACTTTAAAATATTAAATTAATTTCAATGGAGAATACCCCAGAGGTCAGGAATAATCACCTGGCTACTCTAGTCCTCTCATAACTGTACTTCATGAGTTTGAACCACAGATGAATTCTTACAGCCAAGTTGTAAATCCCCATTACAAAAAAACCCCAACAAAACAAACCAAAACCTAAACCCAAAATCCCAGAAAACCCTCAAGATGCAGAATATTTTGGGAAAACTGATCCGTCTCTGGCTGCAGAAGACCACACAGAAGACCATGCACTCTTCAGCATGTGAAAACCACTCACTGTGGTTCACTGAAGGCACACTTTATAATAGCTGTGATTTACATTTATTTGGTGCTGATGCAAAACACAGAAAAACCCAAACTCCTAATAAAAAGTGGAAATCCACCCAATCTCTGGCCACCACTGATTTTGGGATTGCTCCCCAGCATGATGACCACCTGCTCTTCAAATCTGACTTCAGACACCCATGCTCCAGCACAGGGATAAAGGGGATTTTATAGGGTTCCAGTCTCTTCCTTTCCATTCCTTCCCTCAAATTCCAGATCACATCAGAAATTTTGAGCTTGATTCTCTTACACTGCAAAGAAATGGGTCTTACGGCTCAGACAACAAGATGCTCCACACAGGGTGTTTTTTTACCAACTTCTGAGTCATGTCAAGATACAAAATCAATCTGTCTGCTGCTCGTTCACTGCTGCTACATTTTTTTCCCCTGGTGTTACTGCAAACTTCACCCGATGCAGAAAAAGTACATTAATAGAAGCTAAAGAGCTTGGCTTGACTCTGTTGTTTGGTTTGTGCTAAACACAGAAACGATCAATATTTAACATTGACATTAATGGTGGGGGATGACAGTTTAAAACTCTGATTCCTGTCTTCTTCACATGGGCATTAACGATCCCTTGGTGCTCTTCAAGGGAGTAAATGGCCATCCCAGTGTCCTTGGACAAAACAGTGCCTTGACCCTGATTCTTATTAAATATTTATCCAACAACAGTGCAGAAAGATTCCCACTGGAAAAGGAGTCTTGAGAGCTATGAAAATCCCAGATAAAAGTTCCAAATCAAGTGCTTTGAGGTCAACCAGAATGAGAGGGTCCAAACCCACAATGCCATCAAAAACGGGGCTGCACCTAAAATGCCTCTCCGGAACTCCTTGTCTTGCTACGTCCCAAATCACAGCCAGGAATTGCCTGTGACATTGTGCTTTGGCCAAGACTCCTTGAGGATAGTGTGAGGATGATAGATTAGTGTTGTGTCTCCATTCCAGCATGAAGTTCACCTCTGGGGACAATACGAACTGCACTGGGTTGGGGTCCCTCCAATAGCCCTGAGATGTCCTTCCACACTATCCCCGCAGGCTTTGCATTTGCCATTGCATTGCAATGCCATGTCAGGGCAAAATATATCCAGGACTGAGAAATTACACTGATTTTTTTGTGCTAACACAGCCTAAGGGGAGAGATGGGGTTGCACAGATGAGACAGTCCCCAGCATCACCCCAGAGAACAGCAACTTCAAATCACAACACTTTGGGGAGCTCTGTGAATTCTGCACTGCCAGGAGACCTTAATCTTTTCCCAAAAATCAGTCTGATTTGGGGAAACTGGAGAGTGCAGTGCAGAAGATGCACTCATTGACATCAGGATGAAATTACTCCGCGGTTACTCCAGCCGCATAAATGAAAATGGGGAATGAAGGGGAGCAGGAGGCAATGCCTAGTAAAAGCATGTCGCTTCCCTGGGGAAAGCCGCTCTATTGGCATCTGCATTGATTTTCAAAATGAATTCCCAGCTCGCTTCCCGCAGCGACCTGGCCACTGAGAGCATTAGCAGGAGCCAATTCAGGACTCACGTACTCCATTAGGTCTGTGAGATGAACTCTGTAATAGTAGGTGAGAGATGGATTGCTTTGCAGGGCTGGAAGGGTATTGCAAGGGCTGGGAAGATAAATCCCGTAGAAGGAGACTGCCAAGATTGCTTCAGATTTTTTATGTTGTGGGGTGTTTTTGCACTAGAATAAATGACAGCTCATGTGCCCAGGTCACATGCTGACAGTGGGTCCTGCTGGGGGGCAGAAAAAGAGGCAAGAAAGGAAATGGAGGCAGAAAAACAGTATCTGAAGACTAGTACATGCTAAGGGAAAGGTCAGGACATCACATCAGTTTGAAGCACAGAAAGGTCCCCATGAGGGTAAGGCATGCAGGGTGAGTATGAGCCAGAGATCTCAAAGCCATTTCAACTTGCCATACTGCAGTGCCCAGCTCCCAAGAGATGGGAAAGACTCCTTTCCCATATCCATGCAGGGCACTTAGTGAATAATCTCCATGTGGTTCCATCTGGATGCCTCCAGGCATCTGTCCCACCTGCATCATGACCAAAGATATTCAACTCTATCTGTCCACAAGCCAAAAAGGAAGATGCTTCTCCATCCTTCATGGCCATCCACCTCAGGACCATGGATAAACCCATGAACCTCCTTCATTTAATAGCACAAACATAGCCTTCTAATCCCTTAGCTTTATGTTGATAATCTTGAGTTTATGTTGAGGGAATGTATCAAGTACAGCCAAGGAGGGATAAGATCCTGTGCAGTTCCTACTGCCATCCCCTGGGGGCCAGAGTTAAAGTTATGTAGTGGGGCCATGTGGGAAGTGTCATCTTAACCCCACGTTTCCTGGCCAGTTCTCCTCCGAGTTTGGGGAATTCGACTCCCACGGTCTGGAAAAGGCAGCGTTGGAGACCCACAAGTTTAAATTCAATGTCAGCAGCATGATTTCCACACATACATCTTGCTGGGCTCAGGCTACAGCTGTTGCACTGGTCCCTGCAAGGAAGTGAGCCAGAGGCTCGGGGACAAGCTAGCACAGCCCAGCAAAACCCCATGGTGCCAGATGAGTTTCAATTGGCTGAAGGCTCAGCACTCACTGGTCAAGGTTAAGATGCACCTTTTTGTCCTTTTATTGCAGCAAAGTGGTAAAACCTCCTTAGAAATCCATCCCCAAAGCAAAATTCCATAACTGAGAGCACAGCCAACAATGGGATGGACTAGGCTGGGAGCCAGGAATTTTTTATGAATGTTCTCAATCCCCCAAAGTGGTATTTCCCTCCTTGTTGACAACTCTGAATTCCCTTGCTCAGAGCACTTGACTATTGGTGTGTGTGCATAGCTTCACACAATGTTCCTGGGCTTATCTGAGTGAAATAATAACTCAGCCTCCTTCGGAAATTATTGCTCAGATTATCCTTTTTCACCAGAGTTGCAATGTCAGCCTTCCCCGCCTGAAGGCAGAGGCTGGGACTACAACTCCCTGTGTCTTGAAATGATACCCCTGGGAAGGTGTTGATTTTTGGGTGTAGCTAAATTCCTGCCAGTGTTAGCAAAAAAGGTGCCAGGCTTGCTTGGCATCTCTGAGTGGCACAAAATTCCACCAAGCTGGCAAGGACTAGTCCAAGGGCTCCACAGATAAGGGCTCCTCAGATCTGCCCTGGCAAATAAGGCCATGGAATACCTTGGACTGCACTGCTGACTTTGTGCCAGTTTAAACTTGTGGCCAATGGGATTTTCTTTCAGGAGGGAATAGTAGAAATCTACTAGAAATAATCCCTAGGATGGCACAGGGTAAACTGTGCTCATGCATCATTATCTTCCCCACTCTTTGAAGCAGCTCCACCATTTATTAGCAAAAAAAGGGGGAAACTTTCTCCATAGGATGTGCATGCCTGCACATCTGCTTTTGCTGCCAGCTCACTCCTTGAGAACAAGTAGAAAAGAAATAATTAAAACAAGACAAACAACCCTACCAAAACAACTCTTCCATGTGCTTCTCCTGGCAAGGAGAGAACAAACAACATGTCCAATGGATGAGTCAACATGCCATAGTGCTGCCAAGAGGCCTCAGGATGCCATTAGGATGAGCATGGCATCAGAGGAAGGTTTATTTACCTATCACCTCCAAGTTGGATGCCATCTGGAGAAGTTACTGTCAGACTGAGGATGGCTTAGTAGGTCACTAAAGTTTTTCTCCAGCAGGTTAGTGGGACACAAGCATCTGATTTCAATCATTTCCCCTCTCTGGTTTCCATCAGGATGGGGAGCTGTGTGCGAGGACACAGGCACCTTAATATTTATCACCACCTGAATTTTGGATGCCAAGCAGGTGAGTGGAGCTCCCCAAAAGAGATGACAGGGCACAGCTGCATCCTCCACTGCAGAGGAGCTGAAGGGTAGGGATAACAGTGACATGGGGCTTCTGAGCTTTTCCTTTCCAGTTTCTGACCCTTATTTCCATTTGCTTTGAGAAACTGATCAGGACAGAGTGGCCAAGAAAAAGGAGAAGCATCACCACTTTACAGACAAGGATCCGCTGCACAGAGAGCTAAGGCCATGGCTCCTCTTATCCA